TCCATGCTATGGTAGTTAGGAGAGGCCCAAGGAGAGGGAGGTTGACTGGCTACTTCTCATGGCCTCCAGGGTGGTGGTATAGAGGTCTCCGTGGCACAGGGTCTAGAACTCAGCTTTACAGGATCAGAAATACCTTCTCAATCTACCAAAGAGTTGAGCAGTCTCTGTGGGAGCTGATTCTCTATAAACTCATAATTGATTTATAAATGAGAACACCAATGTAGCATTACACTGGGAATTATATGGGAAACAATGCCAGCTGGAGGACTGGGTTTACTTCAAAGCAGAATAGGACAAACACATTTCAGTTGGCAAGGACACCAGAGAAACTGGTAAGCACATAAATAAATATATTTACCAAGTACACCAAAAACATAACAAGCAAAAAGACCTAGACACTTTTAAGGGCTATAGCAGTCTAGTAAAAGTTGTTGTTCCCTACTCACGAGATAAAAATTCCATCTCAAGATCTGGAACTAAAATCTCAGAATGTACAGACCCTGACCTGTTACTGGAGAAAAGACACATTTTTTGCCTTTTCTTATTTTTCTAGATTTCACATACCCTCATCTTCAAGTTCCTTTAAAATGAAAAAATTTGCTTTGGTTTAAAAATTCTCAGATTCACTGCAGAAAACCTGAAAAATATGAAAGAATAGGGGACAAAAAGCTACACCACATTTAACTGCACCATGTAAACCTAATCTGTTTAACATTTGGGCGTCATTCCTGCCAGGCCAGACCTTCCCCTATGTCTGCAGGTGTTTTGTATCATACTTCATATACTGATTTTTAGTTTCAAGAGGTGCTTTCCTGACCTTGTCCCAAATCCTAGGAATGAACTCTTACTTGGACCTTGTTGGTATCCCATGAATACCAAACTATAGTGTGCATCAGAATCACCAGGGGGGCTTATAAAAAGATCACTGGGCCCTTCCTTCAGAGTTTCTGTAGGTCTGGAATGGGCACTGAGAATCTGCATTTCTATTAAGTTCCCAGGTGAGGCTGATGCTGATGCTGGTCTGGGGATTGCACTTTGAGGATTACAGAAAACCAAAAAACAGAGACTGCTTGTTTAAACACAGGTGTGATTTATATTCTCAAAAAGACTTAGTGACATTATACCAGTAACTTTTTTCTTTTAAACTGATTTCATTCCGAAAGGACATGTAATAGACTAGTTCATTTAAAGTCCAACCTATTCATATTTTAGTAGGAACTGGGATGTGCTTTGGCTAGCAAAACCTGAGTTTGCTGACATGCATTCCACAGCCTACAGCGAATTCCAAGCATGCAAAGGTCCTTTCCAAGTTGGTCCCCAACTACCTCCTCAGCCATCTTATCATTTACAACAAAAAGTTTCTTCACTGCTCTCCACCCTTAACGGTCTTGGCACACCCTCTTGCCTCTGCCTGGAATGGTTCCCTATCCCAGCACTGGCTCCCAATCAGACTTCAAACCACCGTTCAAATGTCATGTTTGTATGAGCTGTTCCTTGAAACACTGAAACAATATGCAGTAAACTGCTCCTCGATGCTTTTGGTATCTTGTTCCTATGACCTGTTATCAATCTATCTGTTATCTATGTCAAATCATAAAATACTAAAGTATAGGCAGTGTATCATATTCAGGTTGGGCCACCGAGGAGCTTACAGTTTGATGAGTGATACAGACACGTAAAGAGATAATTATAAAATAAAATGTAGATCCTAGCCCCAAATAGGTACTCAGTATTTGCTGAATAGATGAATGCTGGGTTTTAGAAATGAAGAATAAAGATGTTTTAGTCCAACTGCATGTCAGAGGACCTCTCTGAACATCAAGAAACATTTGTGCTCCTATAGTGAAAAACACAGTGCAGTGAACAAGAGTGTGGGCTCTGGAGCTAGACTACCCAAGTTCAAATACTGCTCTGCCACTAGCACTATAACATGGGTTAAGTTATTAACCTCATATGCCTTAGTTATGACATCTATAAAACATGGGTAATAGAGGTGCCCTCCTCAAGGGGCTGTTGTAAGGAATAAACAGGATTAATACTTGTAAAATGCTTGGAGTAGTGCCTGACACACAGTATGTGCTCAACAAGTGTTAGCTAGTGTCAAACAATTAAGTACTCATGAAATAAATATACAATCTCCCCAGATGACTATTTTGAAGACAAGTACACTGGTCTGTATGTTTAGGTTCAAGTATGTTTGTCAAAAAAATAAAACCTACTGAGTGGCTATAACACTAGGTTGAGTCATATGAAACTATCTTTATAGGTCATAGTGTGTCGAATATTAGCATTTTTATATTGTTCAACCTAGCACTTTCTAGTTACACCTTGCTCACAATTGAAGAGAAGCTCTCTAAAGATTTATGCAAGAGAGAGAGAGAATTAGGTTTTCTGCACAAGAGCAGAAAAGGAAGGAATCCTGCCTCCATAGCATCTTTGGAGGATACCTAATTCAACTTCATGTAGCTGTAAGAGGAAAACTAAGTTAAATATCTAGAAGAGAATCTTAAGATAAATATTTCTAAGAGTAACTAGGACTGTCTGTATATTTTAATGAATTTAAAAAAAAATCTTGGTCACCTCTCTTCCCCTTTTGAAAATTATAGATGTTATAGGTATTGCCTGTGATATCTGCTCCCTGCCCCCAAAAAGACAATTTGCCTTACACCTCTGAGCTGAGGATCACAGTAAAGATATTGAACTCATATTACTTTGAGTTTTTCTTAAAAAAAAAAGGATTTTAGAGCCATCAACTTGCAAAGGAACACACTGACTTAATGTTACTCAAATTTTTCCTTACTAAAGATAATTGAAGGAATTATTTAACAATTTTGCATGACAACATTCATCTGATAAAGATGCTTTGTTTAGGAATCTTAGGTGGTTTAAGGGTAGCAGAGCAGTACGCCAAGAGGATACCACCATAAAAACAAACATATATTCTATCACTAGAAAATGCTTCAAGACAAAAATGTTAATTCAATAAGAAAACATTTCATATTTCTTTTATCACAGAGACTATTCAATTAACTCATTTCCACATCCAGTTAGGCAGTGTACAGAGCTATTCTAGTTTCCCATGCAAAGGTTAGAGAGTTTTCGCAAAATAAAGAAAAGAACCGTTTAGCACTGTCCAAGTCAGTGCTAATGGTTTCAAGTCAGGGCTTGGAGCCAGCCTAGAAGAGCATGCTCACAAGCCATTAACATTCACTTGTACCCCAGCCTGATGCTTCCCCCCACTAAAAAAGATCCAGTTAATATTTATTACTACTGAATGAATCCTTGCGTCTTACCCAACAAATTATTGCAAATGTACCTATAAATTAATGCAGTGTCATTCAATGTGAAGGACTGCAGCTGGAGCGTAATGACACCTCAGCAGTCTCCTGGTACTGTTTCTAGAAAACAGAAAAACCACCCTGATTGCAGCTAATACATAAAAATAATACTTTAACAAAAAGTGTTCATCCTGCCTATATGCTTCCCCTAAAATATTGTTTAAGGGAGTTAGAATTAAATAAAATCAGGACACATGAATTAATAAATACACCTAAAAAAGACAAGAAGTATAAGTGAGGACAGCTTCCTGTTATCTCAAGGCTAATTTTCAGAATGTAAAAATACGATAAATACTATAATGGAAATATAGGGATTCATTTATTCCTTTTTTGTTTACAAACAAAGGCACCCAATAATGCTTCTATTTATTTTTATAAAAGATTATCAATTTACATTTAAAACAAACAAACAAACAAACAAAAAACCCCAAACCAGTTCCTGCAAACACAAAATTAAGGGAAAAATAAGACTTTTTCCTCCCTGCTGCCAAACTTTATTACACAGATTCATAAAATGTTTATTTTATACCATCCTTAACTCAAAGAACATATTGCCGTGCTTTTCTATACTGAGTTTTAGGACATATTAATGGTGCCAAATCAAACTTAAATATAGTCACAATGACCTCACAATTGACAGGCGCATAATATGCCAGAATTCTAAGAGTTAATTATGAATTCGGGGGGGGATGCCAAATGTTTTAGAATATAGCTTTAACAAATGAGCTAAATGAAATATTAAATTTATTTAATAGGCTATCCTGTTTATTAATGAAACTTTGTATAGAAGACATAATCAAACACAGAACTAAAATCTACATCTAATAGAAATGATTTCCAAAATCTTTAAGTTCTGACTTAAGCTTAAAGTCTAGTTAGTAAGGATCAACAATCTACATTCTTTATAGTAGTTTTAGAACTTTAAATTCTGGGATGATACAGTTATTTAATTTATTCATTAGTATTCTTTTGGCCACAGAATTCTAAACAAACAAGCATACAAAATTAATGTAGTGGCCTCAGCATCTTCCCAGTTGGCATTTCTCTAAAAGTTAACATTGTAAGAACAATAAAACAGTTCAGAAGGCCTACACCCCTATACACTTCACAAACCTGCCCAAGTTGTACCTGATCCTTTTGCAAGATACAAAGACAATTCAATTGATTCTAGGTATATTTGGTAGAAGTATAAACATCATACAAATGTTAGCATATTATCAGCACATTATGGAAATACATTTGGAGAGATGGAGTGATCAATGTATAGAGCATCTGTAGCTAACCACGTGGGCTATTTTAAATCAAAGGCATCATCATTTATTCCATTTTTAAACATTTTCATGGTCTCTCACACCTTACACAAGGTATGGTCCTAGACCAGAGACTTTAGTATCATTTCAAAGAATATATATATATTTATATATACATATTTCTTTTAAAACAATGTTTAAAAGTTTTACTACAGAAAATCTGGCTTCCACATGGAAGCATTTTTCCCTTTCAAGATTATACACCTGCATGGAAGAAGGTGATTTCCTTTACATTTAGTTTTCTTCATAACAATAACAAAATAAACATCTTATACACTGCATTTAAATTGGCAAAGAAAATTTAGATGTAAAGTTCTATGTAACTTTTTGTATTGTGAACTGACCTCTTTAAACATATTCAAGATATAGTGTTGATGATTTAAATATAGTACAACTTCATCGGCTAAAGAACAGTATTATGCTGAATAATTTGTTAAACCAAATGTATGTTGTTAACAGTAAGCAGAATTAACTACTAAGATTTAAAAGGAATTATAATGTACCATTAAAATATACATCAATTTTCTTGCTATTACTTGCTTCTATAATGCATTTCTTTCTAAAGCTAAAACCACATGCAGAAAAAATAGATGGTATCTTCAAACTCATTCAACAGTTTGCTACTTTGTGTGGTATGTAAATAAAGTCCTTTATTTAATTTTATACACATTATTTTATTCTTCTTGAAAGAATTCAGCTTTCAAAATCAAAAATTAGTTATGTGTTTACACACGTGAGAACATTTCTTAATGTTATTACTACCTGCAAATACATTCTTCCATAATAATGCACTTTCAGTTTTCACTGGGAAGATAGTACAAGTCATTTTAAAGTCCTATGAATAAAATTTATAAAGCAACGTGAACAAACGTATGGTGAATCCCTTCCTGCCCAACCAAAACCAAAAAACCAAATCAAATCCATTGCTGTCAAGTCAATTCTGACTCATAACCACCCTACAGGACAGAGTAGAACTGCCCCACAGGGTTTCCAAGGAGCAGCTGGTGGATTCAAACTGCTGACCTTTTGGCTGGCAGCCGTAGCTCTTAACCACTGTGCCACCAGGGCCCCCAACCAAAGGCTCAAGAAATTCTCCTGCTTAAAAACATGAAACAAAATCTCACAGGACTGATTATTTGATCATAATGTGGACAAGAACACTTTATTTCTATTTATTTTTAATACTAACAGTTTTGTTAAATTTGTTTTCACGTTCCTTCAAAAAATACATAGTTTATGTTAATATGGATTCTCAAACAGAATTAGATCCAGTATGGTCTTTAGAATAACATGTAGCCTTCTGATTATGAAAGCAATTGATTGTTTATAGAAAAATGATCTGCATCAGACCTTTAATCAGGGGGAAAAAAAAAAGAGAGAACATGTCTTTCATGTTTGAGACCACTCAGCAACAGGATGATGTGAAAATAGTTCAGCTATAACAAAACTAAAACCCACCTCAACTTATGAAAAAAACACTGATGAATCAAATATCTACCACCTTAGCAAGTATTCCTGTCCAAATAGATACCTTCCATTGCACGGAATATTAGAATTAGAAATTCACTAAATGTTTAAGGCATATTTTAATGAATATGTTCCAGAATTGCACAGTTATACTGGTCAGTGTTCCTATTTCCCCACTCCTACCCTCATCCCACCCCTGCCCCCCAGGGATCAAAATGTTAAAAGTTACGGTTTTGGTGGCTATTGTAGACTTGAGCCAGCATACCACAGTGTGTTCACCAGGATTTTATGAGCATAAACATTAAAATATTACATAAGATGTACCATAATTTACTCCACACTCCGATCTAAGATGGTTTAATGCCTTGACAAAAGGTGAGATGACTTAAGTACATTTTACATTTTCTGTATTTAGACCACCGTATGCATAGATATTCTAATGCTAAATTCTCGTCTTCAGTATCTCATAGTGCTGGATGCTCGGAAGTATGACAGAAACTTGTAACACAGACTAACCACAAAGTACCAGATGTTTCTTGCCATTTGTGATCTTGCAATAAAAATGCGCCAGATCAGGATCACAAGGATAGTATTGAAACCATAACGTATGTTCCTTAACCTGGAAAGCAAATGAAGAGACATGTCAGACAATTATTTTCTAAAATACTATACTGTTGGATGACAGCTAATTAATGCTCACTTTTTAATCTACTCAAAGTTCAAATATATGTTCATTTGAAACTTATTTATGATGAATTTCAGTCTTTCATAACAGTATATTTGGGATGTAAATTTATTCATTCAACAAATATTACTGAGCATCTTTTTAATACTAACAGTTACGTTAAACTGTTTTCACGTTCTTTCAAAAAACACATTAATGTTGATATGGATTCTCAAACACAATTAGATCCAGTATGATCTTTAGAATAATACACAGCCCAATACTCTGTATGCCCAATACAGTGCTAGGCATCAAGTATATTGTATGTAAAACAGATACGTCCCTTGAACTTCTGGAGCTTCCTATCTAATCTAAAAAGGGTTGTTCATTATATACATCACAATATAAATAAAATATAGTAAACAGCAGACAGTCACATGATCAAAGGCCAACTGGACAAGTTCTCATCTAAAAATGAAATGTGGCATTGGCTCTATAAAGGAGGACCTTCCCATTCTCAAAGAATAACACAAGTTACTTTGCTCACGTTTCAAAACACTTTTGATGGTGCTGGAAAGAAATACAAACCTTCAAGATATGCGATAATATTATATAAATTCTATTAACTTCAGCAGGCAGTGCAAGATAAAACTATAATACAGGAACAATAGATATAGAGAAAAGAGCTCGGAAATTAGGAGTCAAAAGATCAATATTCTACCTTGCTTTGCCACTTAATATGATATGAGCTAAAAAAAGACAACTTCCCAGAGCCTCAGTTTCCTCATGTGTAAAACTGGCTGCCCTGCAAATCCTCACAGAATTGTATACATGTGAAAGATAATGTGAAAGTTCTGAAAACTGTTATAAAAACAGTACTATAAAAAAGTACTATACAAATAAAAGAGATTACTATTAAAGTTACCTGCATCTCTAAATAACAGATTATTGGTTTTCCGTCTCTTTTCTGATTTTTTTTTTTTTACAATCAGAATCTATAATCTCTTTTATAAGGAAACTAATAGAATAGCAATTCTTATAAACAAAGTTAGAATTCTATGCTGAGTGATGTATGGTTATAGCTCCTCGTCTTTAAAAAATGTATTTGAATAGGGTAAAAAAAATTAATAAATTACTTCTAGTTTAAAATATATTTTTATTTTCTCCTAATTACTACTTCTTCAGTAGTAAGTAATAGTGATTTTTAAAGCTAAATTCCACATGAACTTCATGCTAAGGAATAATATAATTTGATGAAGACAGTAAGTTTCAACAGTCTTAGGCTAAAATTAATACTACTACAGTTCCAAAGGTAAGTTTTTTTCCTAAATACAACAGATTAACAGCATCTTCCATTCACTATGCCAACTTATTAAAAAAAAAAATTGTTTAATATTTCATAGCAAGACAAGAAGAAATTAAATCCATGAAAAACTTACTTGTTCAGATGTTTTCTAGCTGCAGGAAGGCCAGACATTTCTTCATTCAATACATATTTCTTAGTTCCCATGCAGTAGTTCTCTATATATTCTGCCCAATGTAATTGCCTTACATCAATATTAAATGTCTACATTAAAAAAAAATTATTGGTTACTTTCCTGAGTAATTTTTATCACAGCTAGTCAAAAACTCCCATTTTTCCTATATGCCAATTCTAAAAGACATGTTTATAAAACGCTTACATACAGAATTAACTTTTGAAATCTTACTGTCAAAAGAATGTTCTTATTCCTATTTCACACCTTCCATTAAACAAAGAAACATTTGAGAAGATAACCTGAAAACTCATGTCAGCATTTGAAGAGGAGTGTGTTAAGTGTAAGGAGAAAGAAACCTGCACTATTTTGTTTAAAAAAATTAAAAAAGGCAAAATCCCATCGTCCAAATAGATCTATGTATTCCTCACCACTTAATGCATTTCTGGTTCCTTTCTATCTGCAGTCTCTCCTTTCTTCAATACATCCTACATACCACATAGATTAATTTTCCTAAGAACAGTTTTGATATCAAGAGAAAGGATGTGTTATGAAAGCTAATTTAGGAATTTAGGTAACAGTGACTAGGCCATTTGATGAAAAGAGGAGATACATCCAGAAAAGACAGCCTTACAGAAATGCTACTTCATGGCAAAATAAGAGGGCTAGGTACCACTCAGTGCTCCTCAGCCTAAAATCAAATGAATTTTTTTTGGAGTGACAAAGAGATTATTGACTACAGACCACCACTTAACTGAAAACAGCAAATTCTAAACTAACAAACAAAAACTGCTACTGTAAGTAAAGCATTAAAAATATGAAAATACAGTAACACCCCACTAAACCAGAGATTTGAGTTAACATAGGCAATATTACGAGATGCTCATACATACAAGCAATTGGATTTCCAGAGAAAAAGTGAAAAAGAATGGGATAGAAACAATATCTAAGAAGACAATGGATGAAAATTTTACAAAAATCATGATACATCAAGCCACAAATTCAAAACACACATACACACACATCTAGGCATATGACAGTAAAACTGCGAAAAGCCAGAGAAAAATTTTAAAGAAGAAAAAGGCCATATAGATTACCTCCAAAGGTACAATTACTAGATGACAACTGACTTCTGAACAGAAGCAACAGAAGCCAAAAAGCCAATGAAAAGATGTCTTCCATGTGCTCAAAGAAAATAACTGCTAACCTAGAATTCTACACCAGTAAAACTATCCTTGAAAAATAAAGATGTTTCCAGAAGAATAAAAACTGAGACAATCTGACACCAGCAGATGACCCACACTAAAGAGTAATACTCAGGCAGAAGGAAATGATCCCGAAGTGAAGTCTGGAGATGGAGGGAGAAATAATAAAGTCATAATAAAGAGGCAAATATACTAGTAAATCTAAATGAATACTGGTTGCATAGACTGTAATAATAATTGCTTGTGAGGTTTAACATATATATATAGAATTAAAACATGCAACAGCAGATAGATTAGATGTTAAGACTTTGCAAATCCAAGAAACGTAGAAGTATCCATTTATAGTAGACCTTGATAAATAAAGGAAGGATGCTGTACTCTCTAAGGAGCCCTATTGGCACAGTGGTAAAAGTGATCGACTGCTAAATGAAAGGGTCGGTGGTTCGAAACCACCAGTGGCTCCGCGGGAGAAAGATGTGGCAGTCTGCTTCTGTAGATATTTATACCCTTGGAAACCCTGTGGGGTTGCTATGAGTCAGAATCGACTCAATGGCAACAGGTTTGGTTTTGTTTTGGCTGCACTCTCTACACTATTAAAACAATTAAAACAAAAAAATACATTTCAATGAAACTAATATAGGACATATAAAAACTAATAATAGGAAAATTGAGATTTTTCACTATTTCTAGAAGCTCATTATGTAATAGGAAAGGCACAATAAAACCAAATTGAGATACCATTACACACCCCCCACAGTGACTAAAATGAAAAATTAAAATGCTCAGGGTTGGGGAAGTTGTGGATTAACAGGAACACTGTCACTTGAAGTGTATACTGATACAACTACTTCGGAAAGCGGTCTGGCATTATCTACTAAATAAAACATACGCATACTGTGATGGTTAAGGTTGTGTGACAACTTGGCTGGGCCATGATTCTCAGTGGTCTGGCAGTTATGATGTAGTTTTGCAGTCATATGATGTTGTGCTCACTTCCATGATGACATTTGATATAATGTAATCACCTCTGTGATGGGATTTGCTGTGAGTAGCCAATCAGTTGAAAGGGAGCTTCCTTTGGCATGTGGCCTGTATTAAATATAAGTGGGCATTCTGGCAAAGCTTGGGGGGCCTTTGCTCACTCTGGATCCTGCAGTGGGCTCCTGTTCGTCTGACCTCCGGTTCTCAGGACTTGAGATAGCAGCTAACCTGTGGTCTTTCCTGCCGATCTTGGGAACTGTCAATCTTCGCAGCCTGTGAGCAAGGGCCCTGCTATCTGACCTGCTGATCTTGGGTTCGCCAGCCCCTGCTGCTACGTGAATCAGAAGCCTCTATCCTGACCCACAGATTTGGGATGTTCCAGCCTCCACAACCACATGAGCCATATCCTTGATATAAATCTCTCTGTAACTATTTTTATACACTTTACTGGTTTTGGTTCTCTAGAGAACCCAGCCTAAGACATATACTCTATGACACAGCTATTCTACCAAGGTATATACCCTACACAAATGTACGCACATGGGCAACAAGAATAGTCCTAGAAAAACTATTCCTAACAGCCAAAAACTGAAATAACTCAAATATCCATCAAGAACAGACTGGGAAAAAATTTTTGGCTTTGACATATCCCACGAAAGTCTAATCTCTAAAATCTATAGGAAAATCCAACACCTCTACAATAAAAAGATAAATAATCCATTTAAAAAATGGGCAAAGGAAATGAACAGACACCTCCTCAAAGAAGACATTCAGGAGGCTAACAGACACATGAGGAAATGCTCGTGATCACTAGCCATTAGAGAAATTAAAATCAAAACCACAATGAGATACCATCTCACCCCGACATTACTGGCCCAAATAAAAAAAAAAAACAGAAAATAACAAATGTTGGAGAGGTTGCAAGAGACTGGAACTCTTATGCACTGTTGGTGGGAATGCAAAATGGTACAACTATTTTGGAAAACAATATGGCGCTTCCTTTAAAAAGCTAGAAACAGAAATACCATACGATCCAGCAATCCCATTCCTAGAAATATATCCTAGAGAAATAAGAACCATCACACAAATAGACACATGCACATTCATGTTCTTTGCAGCATTATTCACAATAGCAAAAAGATGGAAACAACCTAAGTACCCATCAACCGATGAATGGATAAGCAAACTATGGTACATACACACAACGGAATACTGTGCAACCATATAGAAAAATGATGACTCTGTGAAATGTCTCACAGCACAGATGAATCTGGAGGGTATTATGCTGAATGAAATAAGCCAATCACAAAAGGACAAATACTGTATGAGACCACCACATATAAAAACTCAAGAAAAGGTTTATATACAGAAAGAAACAATCTTTGATGATTATGAGGGAGGGGAGGGGTGGGGAAGGAAAAACACTAATTAAATAAGTGGTAATTTTCGTGAAGTGTAAGAGAGTACACAATACTGGGGAAGTCAGCACAACTAGACCAGGGCAAAGTCACAGAAGCTTCACAGACACATCCAAATGCCCTGAGCGACTGAGCTACTGGGCTGAGGGCTGGGGACCATGGCCTTGGGGGACATTTAGCTCAACTGGCATCACATAGTCTATAAAGAAAATGTTCTACATCCAACTGTGGGGAATCGTGACTGAGGTCTTAAAAGCCTACAGGCAACCAGCTAAGATACACCCCCCACTGGAGCAAAGGAGAATGAAGAAAACCAAAGACACAGGGAAAGATTAATCCAAAGGACTAAAGGACAACTAATGGACCACAACTACCACAACCCCCGCAAGACTGAGTCCAGAACCACCAACAACTGTTCTGGCAGTGATCGCAACAGAAGAGTCCCAGACAGAGCGGGAGAAAAATGTGGAACAAAATTCAAATTCACCAAAGAAAAAAAAAGAAAAAGACCAGGCTTGCTGGTCTCACAGAGACTAGAGAAACCCCGAGAGCATGGCCTGAGGACACTCTTTTAACTCAGATATTATTTTTTAAATGTCCATAAGATTTGAAAAATCAACAGAATTTCTAAAAATAATATAATAACTGAAATCCAAAATTAAATTGGATGGTTTAGACACAGCTGATCGACTGGACCATAGAACTTAAAAAAAATTAACTATATTTCAGCTCAGAGATACAAAATATGAAATTAAGATTAAAAGACCTAGAGAAAACAATGATGTAACATACAGTAGAATTTCATAAGAAGACAAGGGAACGGTGAAAAACAAATGTCTGAAGAAACAACGGCTAACAATTTTCCCGAATTGCTGAAAGACATAAAACTTTAGATCTAGAAAGCCCAGCCCAAGCAGAATTTTTAAAAATTTACATCCTGACATAGTCATAGTAAAAGTGTAGAACATCAAACATAAACAGAAAATTTGGAACTATGGGAGGATTTACAGATAACCTGTAAAAAAACAGAAATTAGACAGACTATTCAATGGCAACATAAGACAAAACACAAACAGGTTACCTTTAATGTGCTGAAATCATGTTACAAAAACAAAGGTGAAATACAGACATGTCAGACAATCAAAAGCAGAGTTCATTACTAACAGATCCCCTAACTAAGCCATGTTCTAAAGAATATTTCAGGCAGAAAGAAAATGATCCTAAAGAGAAGATCTGAGATGCAAGAAGGAATGGTGAGCAAAGACACTGGTAGATATGTAACTGAATTGAAATAAAAACTGAACAAATAAAATAATAATTTCTAATTATGGGGTTTAAATAGAGAACTAAAGTATTGGACAATCATATAAGTTGGTGGGTGTGGTGATCACAGCTAAAACATTTTAAGGTCCTAAATATCATTAAAGAGAACCAAAAAAACCCATTGCCGTGGAGTCAATGCCTACCCATAGCGACCCTATAGGACACAGTAGAGCTGCCCCACAGGGTTTCCAAGGAGCACCTGGTGGACTTGAACTGCTGACCTTTTGGTCAGCAGCCAGGGTTTCCCATTAAAGAGAAGACTACAGAAATTATTTAACCCTTTGTTTGGTATGCATGTTAAAAAAACTAGGGTAACCTCAAAAAACCCAAGAGTTTAAATTCCAAATTAGCAGAGCGGAAAATAGGAATGACAAAAATTAAGACTTTATGAAAAATAATTTCTGAGAGAAGGTTTTCTCAAAATTCAGAGAAAAAGTATGTGGGGGGGGAGGATACATTTTTTTTTTTGCAGTTGCTGTGGAAATGATTCCGACTCACAGAGAACCCCATGTGTGTCAGAGTAGAACTGTGCATGCTCCATACGGTTTTCAATGGCTGATTTTTCAGAAGTAGATTGCCAGGTCTTTCTTCCAAGGTGCTAAGCTTTCGATTAGCAGCTGGGCTCATTATCATTTGTTTAAATTCCAAACTAGCAGAGCGGAAAATACAGAATGACATAAAGTAAAAGCATATGAAAAACAACTTCTGAGAGAAAGTTTTCTCAAAACTCAGAGAAAAGGTATTTGGGGGAAAAAAGGATACAAAAGTCAAATTTCTCTTTTAACCAAACATTTAAAGGGAAAGATAATCAACATTTCAGTCAAACTTTGAAGACACCTTTGCCACTTTTAAATACTTACACTATAAATCCTAAAATAAAGCAACTTTAATTTACCATCAACAATTATGATTGAAGCTATAATGATTATAAATAAATCATTGACTTGTCCAATTATTTCTCAGGTTGCTAATGGTTCTCTAATTAGTATGTTGCTTATTTTCTAATATAAAATAGAAAATACTTGCCTTTTTATCTTCAGGGTTTAGTTGGTTCATTAACATATTGACATTGTCAGTATTCCAAACCCAAGAATTACTTGTGAAATACTCAAGAAACATCATAGCTTTGTGAAGGCGAGTTATTGCTTTCATCATCCTGTATTACAAGAAAAGTTGACAGATTCATATTTTGCATAGATTAGGGAAAATTCTACCACTAAACAAGGTACCAGTAACTGCCAATATAGATATTAACATTAAAATTTTAATGCATAATTCGGTAAGTATACAAAACCAACAGGGATTAAGAATATTTCTGTATTTTAGACTGACACTTAATAAATCCAAAAAGAAAAACTGAAGCAGCATCAAATGAATTTAATAAGAGTTCCCTAAATAAGAGTGCTGCTTATACATGTAATTAATTCACAAAGGAAATTTAATACTTTACAAGGTCAAATTTTACATAAAATACTAGACAAATAAATGAATTTAATTAAAATTCCCTTACTTTTTGTTCTTTAAACTACATTTTAGTTTAGCTGCATTTACTAAGATTTTCTGTAAATTTATTAGTGTGTAATGTTACAATTCCAACTCTTCAGCATCACTAAAGCAAAGCATACAGAAATATTCGTTTGCCATTTAATCAACTCTAGTTAAAAAATAATAGTAATAATAACTTTCTCTTTAACATTGATTGGTGCCACTCTTGGTCATCTGCGTGTGCCATGATTTCAATGACTTACGCTGAAACTTTCTGAAAAAGACATTCAAACATTTCATCTCACATACTATATCTATCCTTACAGAAATAAAGGAGTTCAATAATTTTTTGTTTGCTTCATTTTAAAAGGGTAGGGGCCTTAATCTTTAAATCTGTCAGTTTATACATCCTAGCATACTATAAGTCATTGTATCATAACACTAACCTGAGTGGTAACATCTATACAATGTAATATGATAAGTAAGGAAAGGGAAGGAAGAATTTTTTGAAACAAAACACCCAAAAAACCCAACTTTAGATAAAAAGAATAAATTTTTTGAGAAATACTTAAAAATAATCCCATCATTATTCAATCAATAAGGATTGGCATTATATGTAGTTTAGAAGCCCCTGCATTAAGGATGAACATTAGAAATGAGGGAGGAAAATCAAAACAGTTTAACATTAGCTAAACAATTCCGATGACAAATTCAATACATTTAGAAAGAAATCCTGAATTCAGAATACTGTGAGAAAATGAGGCAATATGGACTATGTAAAGAAAAACTGTAGTTCATGAAATAAAATAATTCTCAAATAAAACCCCCATTAAACGTGAAAAGAATTATCAAGCATCAAAGGCTCTATGTGGACATGAATAGTTCATACAGAGAGAAAGCACTTGGGGGGAAGAAAAGACATGCTGCTTTTAGAAACGAAGAAATTAGATAATTTTCTTCTAAAAATCAACAAAAAGATTTAACAGATTTTTAACTAAATTAATACACACTATCACAGCCAGTATAGTATATTCAAATGACACACATACTTGGTTAACGAGGTTTTCCAAGATATATCATAAAAGTTTTTCTTCCTAATTATTTTTCACTGACCATTCTCACCTAGTCTTAAGATTCATTTAACTGACAGAATTACCCTAAAAACAATCATTGATTCAGCTGTTCAAAAATAATTACAATGAAAAGTGGGGGGAAGGAAATGTAAAAGGCCATATATATATAAAATTTATAGACTATCAGCCAACAAAGTACTACATTGAATACTATGGAGGATGAAAAAAAACTTAAACATTGCCCCACCACTCTTTGGTCAAGCATGCTTTAGCAGATGTTTGTGATTATATTGCCATATATGTTCCAAGTATTTGTTTTTTATTATGGTAACATTCAAAAAATAATGACAATCCTTTAGAGTAGACAAGATCTTAATGGACATCTAGGTCAGAGTTTCTCAATCTCCGTACTATAGACATTTTGGGCCAGATAATTCTTTGTTGTAGGGGGCTGTCCTATATACTGTGCTTGGTAGTATCCCTGGCCTCTTATCATTAAATGCCAGTAGCACTACTCCCCCAGTTTCAATAATTAAAAATGTCTCCAAACATTGTCAAAATTGTCCCCAGCAGAGAACCACAGTTGAAAAATACCAGGTTCAGAGAAGTTGAGCTCAAGAGTTAAGCTAACTAACCAAAGCATAAGACCATGAAGCCATTTTTTTTGAGATGCATTTTTAACAATGATTAAATGTCTACTATATTTCAAGTGCTAAAATGAATAATTTAGCCTGCTTCTACATGTAACAATATCAGGCATTCTAGTTCCCAATGATTATTAACCAGGAATCCATGTGATGCATGTCTGAGTTGTACTTTTTATAATTATGTCAAGATATATAGCAAGTCAGATTTTTATCTAGCTGCCACTCAAAATAATGAACACCATGAATGACATGACTGATATTAATTTAGTATAAAAGTAGGTACTACATTAAGGCCCCCAATATATGGTATGAAGCCTAGTGCCTTGCTCAGAAAACATCTATACAAATTTAAAAAGATAATTTTTAAAACTCTGTAGCTAACATTTATAAAAAACCAAAATAAAACACCTTTATGTTCCTTGTTGCTTTTAGACTATAATCTCCCAGAGGTCAAGAATCATTCCTTCTTTGATACTTAAAGAAAGCTGGCTTCACACAGGAGAAAACCTCCAGTAAGAAGATTCTTTACTTTGCTATTTCCTATTTGTGGCAGACTTTAATTTCCAAAGATGGCTGCAATAGTATCTCCCATCTTACATGCTCATCTACAATTTCACCTTGTAACTAATAGAATGAATTGGAAGTAACACTTTAACTTCCAAGGCTACATTAGAAAAAGTGATGGGCTTTCTGCCTTGCTCACTGGAATACTCACCCTTGAAGCCTTCAGCTGCCACGTATGCTGTCCAACTCCCCCTGAGGTTGCCACGCTGTGAGGAAGCCCAAACTGGTCCATGTGGAGAGACCACACGGACAGGCAGAGACTACAGGCAAAGAGAAACATGCCTGGCCATCCCAGCTGCTCTGTACCTCTTTACCCCTCCTCCCTCCACACTGTACCTGGCTCCACTCCCTGCCTGACTGTACCCCTTGAAAGACTCAAGCAGAACCATCTAGCCAAGCTCTTCTAAAATTCCTGACCCACACAAATAGTGAGAGATCATATAAAATGATTGCTTTAAGTTACTAACTTTGGGGTGTTTGTTACGCAGGAAGAATAACAGGAACAGACCTTAGTACTGGTAGTGGGGTTAAAAAAAAAAAAAAAAAAAACCATACCCGCTGCCCTCGAGTCAATTCCGACTCATAGCGATCCTGTAGGACAGAGTAGAACTGCCCCATATGGTTTCCAAGGAGCGCCTGGTAGATTCAAACTGCTGACCTTTTGGTTAGCAGACGTAGCTCTTAACCACACCACAAGGGTTTCTGGTAGTGGGGTAGTGGGGGTAGTGCTATAATAAAAACCTAAAACACATGGTAACGACTTTAGCATCAGGTAGTAGAATATGGAAGAGCCTTGGGGAGACTGCTAGCGAAACCTGGAAGGACCATGAAAAGAATGTTAGTGGAAGCCTAAAGGGCTTTAAAGAAGCTGTTGGTGAGGACTTAAAAGGAAAATGAGGAAGATATTGTTGGAAGAAAAAAGACTATTATTTTGACAGAAAATTTAACGGAACTGTTGCTGCATTATCATGGACCATAGAAACTGTACCTAATAAATTTGGTGATCTAGACAAGATTTCTAGCCAGTGTTAAAGGTGCCACCTGGCTTTCTACAGCAAAATGAGAGAGGAGAAAGATGGTCTAAGAAATATACTATTGAGTGGAATTTGGAGGAAATGTAAAATGTCTGTCAAGAATTCTTCTACAAGTAACTTTGGTGAAGGGTAAGGCAGTACACAACACTGGGGAGAACAAAAAAAAAGAATTCTTCTAAGAAATGGCTTCTAAGCATAAATCAAATCCTGGGTGGGGCTGAAAGAGCCTTTGTTAAGACCTCAGGAAGATCTAAGGTAGCATCTCATAGCATTCTTCAGACAAAAGGCTTTCTCCAGATCTTAACAACATGTCTCATAGAAATCCTATTGTTTAAAGGCAGGATCTAAGAGTAGTGCTAAGGGTGTTGTCGCACTACAACCTTATAAGGGACCCAAGATAGAGAAGGGCGTATCTTAAAGAGATCCATAGGTATGGCTTTGGTCTAAAGGAGGAGAATGTTTTAAAATGGATATACAGGAAACCCACACAATTTTAAAAAGAATTATCAGTTTGCACTTAAAGGATCAGAGACAGCACAAAATGAAAAGAGGCCTCTGGACCAGGATACAGTAAACCAGGGCATGCAAGCCTAATACAGTCTGATTCCTGTTTTTGTAAATAAAGTTATACTGTAAGACAGTCATACCCATTTATTTACAGACTGTCTACGGCTTTCACAGTATAACACTATTAACAGCAAAGTAAGACCATATGGTCCACAAAGCCTAAAATATTTGCTACTATAGAAAAAGTTTGCCGACCCCTGCCTTGTACTCCCAGTCTTTTATGGGCAGGCAACAGGCTAAGGTTACTCAATTGTAAACACAGACCATTTCTTATGGAAAAGGAAGGATTACTCAGAGGGCAGGGCCAAGAGCCCAGAGAGCAGAGCCAAGAGCCTCTGAGAACTTCCAAAGCATAGGACTGAGTCCTAATTAAGAAAGTGTCAGTATGAATCTGGATGGATTTTCAGAACTGTTATGGACCAGTGACTGCTATGTACCTATTATCCTATGCTTGTCTCCCCACTATATGTTGGGTGTATGGGCAGTAGATAACTTGTCTGTTTTAATTCACAGGTTTTCAAATCAATACTTGAGGAAATACACTTGACTAGCTATACCAACAAAATACTTCTAAAGAGTCTCATCCGCAACTGGATCAAATTAAAATTACAAAATCCTGGGCTTCAAGCTGTTGCTACAGAGGTCTTTGGGGGAAAGGAGTAAGTGTATTTTCCATAGGGAGGAATATGAAGTGATCAGACTAGAGGGCTGACTGTAGCAAACTGCACTTTCCAAAAATGGCTAGAACAACATCTTCCTTCTCACTCATTTACAACATGACCTTGACCATTCTCCCACTGAGAGATGGGGGGACTACGTACGTCTCCTTCTAGAATGCGGCAGGGCTTGTCACTTGCTTGTAACTAAAACAATGAGGTGGAAGTGATGCTGCATAACTTCCGTAGCTGGTCAGAAAAGGCAATGTAGCTTCCACTTTGCTTGCTGAAATACATTCCCCCGACATCTTCAGCCACCATGTAAGCATCCAATTCTCCTAAGGCTGCTACTAGTTTGGGCAAAGAGACTATATAGAGAGATCCTGAGACTACATGAAGTGACAATGACACTTGGCCAACCCTCCTTCCCAGCTGCTTCACCTCCCTACTTTCTCCACTCTTTCAGCTCTGGCCTCCATCTGACCACAACCACAATAAATGATCCCAAGATAGAATTGCTTAACTAAACCCTTCCGAAATTCCTGATCCTGAGAAAAATAATAAATTGACAGAAATAATGACTGTAGCTGTTTTAAGCCACTAAATTTGAGATAATTTGTTATGCAGCAACATCTACTCTGAATAATTTGTGAACTCTGGCTATTCACTCATTTTTTTAAGTTTACTAAGCCCCCTTCTCTGTGTAAGGCACTGTGATAAATTCAAGCTGTTTTACTTTCTTGACCCAGTTTTTTACTTTTCTGCCCTAACTTGCAGTAACTTTATTAATATCAAGAAAGCATGCATTGTCATCATTCATAAATTTACATCTGCTTTCTAGTCATGAAAAAATACTGTCAATGACAAATACTGCATTTTGCAGATCATTCCAGAAAAACTTAACAATTTTGATATATTTTGGCCCTTTTTACCAGTAATTATTTCTTTACCTATTCTAAAGTTGTTCAATCCAACACATCTCACATATTTCAGTATTTAACATATAGAGCTAGAAACATCATGGACAACTGAATCCACAGAAAATCCCTACAAGTAACTGAGATGCTGGTACACTGTAACTGGCAGATACCTCACTTTTATTTTTTGAGCAGTTGATGGAAGTTCTGGAATCAGCATCTTCTTTATACATAAATACTCAAATCCTGAACTCTCCAATCAAAGGCTCCACTGTAATGCCAATGTAGTTAAAAATAAATAAATATTTTTATAGTATTTCACGGTGATCATGTGGTAAAGACAGTAAGACAGGATTATTTAAGTTTGTAGGGTTTCATAAAAATAAAAAAAGAAAGAAGAAAGGCTAAAACAACTATAAGAATATAGAAAGTTTTCCATTTACTTTTTTTTTTTAAACTATGCAATTTCCAACCTGGAAAATTAGTCAAAAACTGTAATTACCGTATTATAAGCTGAATGGGCAGCTGATATATTTTGGTAATTAATTTTCTAGAAGCACCTGTTTTTTAATATAAAACTGCACCATCCACTTAGAGCAAAAACATTTTACCCTTAATCCCTTATAAAAACTCACCCCTAGGTTTTTAAGGGGGAGAGGAGAAGGGCTCAATTTCAGCTTATAATAACAATGACAACCTTGATGTAGGACATTTCCATATTATGGGATTTTAGAGTACAATAGCCTAATAAAGTGAGATACACAGTTAGTCTCTCCAAATATCTCGAATTCTTAAGAAATGTCCTGACATCCTGATTGTGATTGTGATTTATTAGGTTAGTAATTCTAAAGGTAAAGCTCATGCTAGAGACTTTTCGTCTCTCCAGCAAGCTTCCACTACCTTACCAATACATAGTGTATTTACTGCTATTCTTCTTACCACGGTTCCTGACCTGTCAACCTGAGTGCAAGATCGAGCAATAATGCAGGTACTGTATGTCTGACACCCTTCCAATAATGAAGCAATAGGTTGTTGGAATAAAACTTAACATTGGGGCGCCTGAATACTTGGTTTAAAGGATTCATCTTGAAGGAATGATTTAGATAATATCCTGTAGGAAAAATAAGCGTCAAAGCATTTTGAATGTTATTTGTTATTCAGGGAAAAACAAATGAAAATTAGACCTAGAACTGAACACATGACAATAATTTATCATCCAAACTTTAGAACAAATTAGAGTGACTTACAGGACTACCTTTTTTTTTTCTTTTCTGACAAAGTCTTAAATTCAAGAGTCTTCTCATTCACAAAAGGCCATTAAGCCTTATCATAAGCATAAACAAATAAAAAGTTAATGCATTTTAGTGTAAGCATGAGTTGTTTAACAGTCTGAGGAACAGAAAAGACAGAGCTAGTCATCATTACCTTGGGCTTCTTCCAGTCATCCTGAGGTAGATATCATACAGGAATGCTGGGGCCTTATGGCTTACAGCAATCCAGTAATGATATAAAAGGTGATTGGAGGTTAGATTTACATTGGGCCGTCTGAAGGCCTGTTCGAGAGGATTCCTCTTGAAAGTAGAAATTACATGGTATTCTGAGGAAGAAAAGTTGTGTAACAGCTTTGATAATAACCATGTAATGAAGTTTTGAAAAAAAAATCATGGTTTACAGTACAAAATATTTTACCAAAGATGTCAGAGTTCTCTCATTTACAAAAACAAACTTTTCTACTCTCTATAGTAGCTAAGAGAATATGGATATTAGACTGCTGAACTCAAGTGGTTTTAGAACTCCCACTATTTATGAATTTTAATTAGAATTGTCCTGAGCAGTTGATAGAAGGTTTGCTAAAATTCACTCTTAAAATCCTTTTAATGTTTTACCTATGCCAGTTTACAATGTCACTTTCTATATTTCACCTCTCACGATAGCTTCTTTCTTTCTGTTCCTCTTTCCAGATTCTTATTACTGTACTTACTTAAAAAAGAAAAGGAAAATCATCATCCTTTGCTTATGAATAAGGTACTCAAATTAACATATACCAACAAGCTTAAAACAACCCAAAATTAACTTCTGCTGTAGTTTATTTAGGTTACACAATGTTAACACTTAATTAAACCTAGTATCATCCATGTCAATACTATAATAGATACATATATTAAGATATTCACTAAAAAATATGCTCAACTTGATTTTTTTTTACAATACATTAAAGGTTACAAAAACACCTCGCTTAAAGTGCTTCAAATATTTTTTAAAAGAACACTATTTTAAACAATTACCATAAAATTAGAATCCCTAGATTTTAATTTCTGCTTATGTGCTCTAAAGGTCAATCTTTGAATTGAAATAAAAACACCATAGAAAAACCCTACGACAGAATGACATAACAACTTATAAATAATTCCATTTCAATGGGCTTTAAGTTATCCTATTCCTATTTTGGAACTAGTAGCATATCATATTGCGAATTTGTGAACTTAAATAAGATTAATAAAATAGAAAATATTCTTGCATACTATATCCTACTTCCTAACTCCTTCATTTATTACAACTCTTGGGTCTCCTTACTATCTTCTGTGATATACTAACTCTTGTAGTTGGAAATGATATTGCCTATCAGACAACATCAGGACTGAGGGTGTCCATGTGGAAAGAAAAAAACATTGCTTCTGTGCCATAGGTATCTACAAGTGTGCTACAGATGGCAGCAGAAAAAAAGCAAGGTCAAAAAAAGGATAGGGTGGAATATACAGAAGGATATTTTAAATTTGTGAAACACTACTAAGAACCATAAGGCAGTACTGGTAGATATTACTTCTAAGATGGCAATTAAAATAAGAACAAATTGGTAACTCAGTAGCCTTAATGTCTCACGGGTTATTCTAACATATAAACTCAGTGAACACTTTAAGTTCTTTAAGATTTATTCTAATATTCAAAAACACAGGTAAAATCATACCAACTTCACCCCAGTGGAAAGGATTAGTGCTGCCTGTTGTGCAATTATACACCATGATGTTCCTTGGTCTGCAAAGACAAAGATCAAAGCAATGAAACATACAGAGGCCAAACTTATCTACTCTAAATCTTATACAATACTCAAGTGGGAAGAAATGAGGATAATAGGTACCTTTTCTATACTTATTATTTTAAAAATTACCCTTAAAGAATTAATTTTTATGTTTGAATGACTATCTACAACCCCTTTCTCCCTCCCCTACCAAAAACATTATTTATAAAAAATCAGACTCCCCCGCCACCACCACCAAATTTTTCTTCCTTGTATTAGCAGGAGTGCCTGGTTTTAAATGTAAGGAAAACAATAACACAACAAATGATCTCAGATCTTCCTATATGCTTTCCACTTTCAGAGGCTCTAGTTAAAAAAAAAATATATGGACTGAGTTCCCTTTTGCCAGAAACAATATAACCAGATAATCTTATCTCTCCTTTTGTAGGATAAAATATTGACTTTAAACGTAAGGGCAGTTTACTAGAGAAAAAAAAAGTTGTTGGAAGTTTAAAGTTTAAAGTTTAAGTGTTACCTGTAACACCACTACTCCCTTGTAAAAGAAGGACGGCCATGGTAGATTACAACTACTCTAGTAGGCATGTTTGAGATATGTAAACCATTCTCTGTGAATTTCAGTCCTTTATATATGCCAAGTTTACATCAAGTTTTAGTATGGATAAAAAACAATCTTTGGGAAGGGCAGTTTTTTTTTTTAATCTCTAATGAATGTGTCCATCCTGTAGTGTATGAGAACCAATGTTAATTCTTAACTACTACTACTGATGAGACCACTTGCTATTACCTGTAATGTACCAACTCTTGCAGCTGGCAGTGATACTGCCAATATATACTGGTATGGCAATATCAGGACTGAGGGATTAATTAACATTAGTCAGTAGCTCTGTTTTCCCTTCTCAGTTATTATATATTTAACAAGCGACATCGTCACCTCATATACCTATTAACTCCGGAATACCAGGCTGCCGCAAGACTCGTGTTGACAACTACATCTACAGGAACAAGATCTGCAAGGGCATTGTTGGAGGCACGCATTGTTCGAAGAATTCCTTTCCCTGCCTTTGTTGAAATTAAAAACAACACCTTAAGATATTTAAGCCAGAGTGTGTGTATATACATATATATATATATATACATATACGTATATAAAGATACACAGAAAACAGAAAAATACATAGAACATTAAATAAATAATAAGGTTTACTTACTGCAATAAAGAGACCACTTGGTCCATTAAAGTTATCGATCCATCCCTAATTTCAAAAATTTTAGAAAAGGTGAGGAGCTTAGAAATATTATGAAACTAGAAATTTATTATTTAACAATTACAACCCCAAATACACACTTGGTAGTTCTTTTTTCTGAAAACTAAAAATAACTAGACTCAGGCCAAATTATTTCTCCCAGTCCCAAATAGGGGCAGTCTTCCTCTGGGATCTCAAATCACTAAGTTAAAACAGTTTCAAGGGGTTACCTACTCTTCCATTAACTCTTCGCAAAGAGAATTTAAATAAAAGTTTACATCTGTCAAATACTTTTGCTAAATTAAGCCGGTTCAAGTTTGATTTTTTGCTATTTACTGATGCAGCATCCTGAGATTAAGAGGAAATGGTATATCGTTCTCAAAATTACTGCATAAGACAGAGGAAAATAGAGTAATTGTCAAAGCAACTAAACAGGTGCTATCACTCACTACCATTATAGAGACCTGAGTTTTTCCTAAATCAATTTACCTGTTTGTTTACATCTCTGGTTTCTCTTATTCCAGGGATTCACAAGTCACATATGTCCTATTGTTTATAGCAAGATATCATAGCAATCTCTTGTCCCTTTCTTAGCTTGTCACCTATACAGGGAGAGCCTACCTCTTGGAGGGGCTGCCTCTTTTGGTGCTTTAGCAAATGAAATAAATAAGACCCTGAATATTCTCATCTCTATTCCCTTCACATTTGCAAGGGAAACTAATCAGTAAATAATTTTAAAGGCCAACAAATGTTGATATGTCAGGTCAATCTCTTGTCAATCACAAAACTCATAAGGCATGGTCTCCTCTGACTCAAGACAATTTCATAGCTTTAATTTTTAATTATATTTTTTTAAATGTTGATCTGCATTCCTATACATCCACCATCACATCAGAAACAAAAGCACCAATATCTCTTCCAATGAATGGAAAACAGTTTTGCCACAGTACACCATATTCAGTAAATAAGATTTCTCTTAAACAACTGCCAACTCTTTTTATACAGAGTTATGACTTCAACTTTGAAAATCCAATTATTCACAAATCATTTCCAAACAACTTACCGGAAAAGGTTCTTTCCAGCTGGCGCCAACAATCGATGGCCTTACAATCGCCACATTTAGCTTTGCTCCTTCTTGTTGTACAACATATTCTGCCAATGCTTTCGTGTATATGTATGTATTGGGTCTGTCTCCTATCAATTTTGGGGTGATATCATTTACTAGGCCATCATCCATCCACCTGGTAAAAAAAGAAATTGCATGCAAAAATATTTCCAAATGTTTTACTATAAAATTAAAAACCACTTAATTGCACTTTGCACATTCAAATATATCTGTTGCTTTGACTCAAATGATTTGATAACAACTTTTACTAAAAATATACAAATTAGTCTTATTTTCATTAAGTATCATCTACAGGCCTACAATTCCTTATCTGTAATTTCTATATTCAAAAAGCTCTGAAAATTGAGAGTTCTTTCAAAATTACATGGTTGGTAGCAAAACCTGATCTGAACTGATTTATGGTCTTTTTTTTAATACCACTTAGTGTAAATACTCATGCATTTCAGACATGTTTGATTAGGGATGCTACCTCAGATCTAGCTGAGATTATTTCATATTATATAGTACACATATTACATTTCCTTTCTAAGGTCCAAATAAATTCCAAAATAGATGACACTGAGGATTTCAGATTAGGAATTATAGACCTGTATACAATCACCTAACAGAGTAACATGTTATTTACATTTGCAGTTAACATACATTTATAATTTATATACAAGGTTGAGTATCATCTAAATATTTAAAGTAAAGCACTGAAAATTATATGCCCTCACCAGCGAGACTGGCAAATACTACAGTAAACAATAAAAATAAATTGAACCATGCTAAAAAAAATTTAATTAGCAATCTACTATAAAGTCACAAAATTCTCTGTCTCTATGGAAAAGGTCTACTCTGCTCCTTTGCAAAAGGAGTGATATCTATGTTACTTCCCAATCTAAATTTTCTGATTCCAGTATGTTATGTACTTGTTTTCAGATACTTTACCTTTCCTTATTGTGTATAACGCTAAGCACACAAGTAGACCCAGTATACTGTGATACTCTAATGATATCCATACCAACTGAAGAAGAAGCATAAAATTGGAGATTATCAAGATAAATTATCATTTTCCAACATGTACATGAAAGTACTTTTTGTGTGCAGAAGGAAAAAAACACTAAATTGAAGGGAGGTTGCTATGAGTGGGAATCAACTTGACGGCAACGGGTTTGGTTTTTTTGGTTTTCTACCCAACTTAGGAAAAATCCCATAGTAGAGTCTTGAAAACAGGAAGGGATGGTTGGTACATAATAAATGAATGAATGAATGAATGAATGAATGAATGCCTAAACTGAGGACAGACTTTAGCCAGTAAGCCTTATCACTGGAGTGAGTTTACAGAGCCAAACTAAGAGTCACCCTAAAATTATCCATTAACTAGATTTATGTGTAAGCAAAGAAAGGAGATACAGAATTAGGTTACAGGCTCTTTTCTTAGCTCATTAGATGTCTGGATATACCAAATGCTAATAAGAAAAAGAAGTAAAATGCTTGGTTAATTTTCAACTCAGATTTTCCCAGTGACATGAGATGCTTCAGTCTACTGACTTATGAGGAAAATGACAGGTAAAACTAAAATCAGATTACCCATTTATTTTGAAGTCCAGTGGAAAGACTATCAAAGAATGATTTGATTTGCTCTCTTATGAGAAACAACTTATATGTCAGGAATAAAGAAAAAGATACCTACAGAGTGAGTAGGTGAGATATTTGGGAGTGCTAAGAAATGGAGTCAGGAAACAGAAACCTGAGAACTACCTAAGAATGCCTCTGTAATCTCCCATACTTATTTTCTTATACTATGTCTGCTTCCTCATAGTGATCAGCAGGGAAGTCTTAAAGAAAAGGATTTGTGGGCTTATTTTGGGAAAAGTTAGGAGAAGGAGCTATTAACACTGTGTAGCATCCTTGGGAAGAAGAGAATTCAACTGGGAAAGCCAGGAGTGATAACCAAGAAGTCAAGAATGGATAGAATCTCTAGGAAGAAAAGTGAATAAGCAGAGACAGAAAAATAAAGGAGGAAAAAGCCTACAGGGATATTATATGAAGATTAACAAATATGTAATGATATGATGGGTACTGAAATGTTTCTGTAATTGCAGTCTATAGAACAAAAAGGTTCGGTTTTTTTTCCTCTGATCTTTTTGGTTTGTTTTACTTGAGGAGAAAGCACAGTCTGAAGCAAAGGAGCACTCGGGTATAAGCATATTCACTTACTCCTCATGCATCAAATACTTTTAACAAATATAATTATATTTTTAATCTCGTAATTGCTGATAGAATTGTAGTCCTCAGAAAGATCATAAAAAATAACAACAGGGGTATGAACGAAAGCACAATGATGCCTCTGACTCCCTACTACGGTAAGTCCCTCACTAGATATACTCCACTGGGCAAAAAACAATCAGAGATAATCCTTTAATAAACTAGAACCTTGCTATTAAACAGGCAGTCATTGGTCTCCATGGGTGTCAGATACTTCTTAGTTGCCAAGATTGATTCCCTGAAAACTAGAGCCCCTAATATGGATGAGTTGTGCAGAGGTGCTCCCCCAGGTTCCCAACCATCATACTTGGTCAAAAGTGAAATCCCTACACTGACATCAACAACAGTCATTTAGTTATTGATCTCTACCATAAAAAGAAAATAGCAGATAATCAACAATTTGCTGAATAAAGAAACAGATAATGCATGTATATAAGCATATGTGCATGTACATGTGCATGCATGTGTACATAAATGAAGAGAGAGAGGAAGAAAGAAACTGAGACAGACCAGGAGACACATATAAATAGATAAACCTGGATCCGAAGTTTTGAGATCAAAGCAAACGTATGTACATTTCAAAGAAACATACTCTAAAGAATCAATCAGCTTCTTGGGATCGACAGGGGGTGGATAGACTACTTCATCAATATGTTTTCTATTGCAGTATGCATATGCTGTTGATACATGCATAAACACTTCCAGATTCTTCATTTGTTGTGCAAGGAGAATAAGCTGTCGTGTAGCAATCACATTTAACTGAACAGCATCTCTGTAAAAGAAAAAGTGACATTGAAAAGTTGGGAGGCTATGTCATTTATTTTACCTGCTTAAAAAAAATCTTATTTCCATTAGAGAGGTAGAGACAGAGACAGATTTTTGTTTCTTTACAACTGAGCCCTTAGCTCTGATTTTACGTATTTTATTTCAATATGAAGTACAGCCACTCTATCAGCTATGTTTAAAAAGAAATATTCTGATTATCAAATAAACTTAATTGTTAGATTTGAAAAATAAAAGTACAAATTAAAAAAATTAAAATTACCCAGAGATAAAATGGATACTTTAGCTTTCTTTAGCTTTTATACACACATCTTGAAGTCATGCTAGATTTTTTTTTTGCATCTTAATGTTTAAAGGCATAACTATAACCTTTCATGATATGGATGTGACACAAGTAGAAGAAATTAAAATGCTAAGGCAAAATCAGCAATAAGGGTGAAACAATAATGAAAAAAAGAAATCCAGAAACAGTAAATTATATTAGCATATAATCAAATAAGAATGTTTGTAGCAAATCAATCCATCAAATACCTCTTTAAGACTATCTTACAAAATTCAAAGTGATATTATAATAAAACTAGTACATGGCATATGTTTTATTGTGTATATTTTCACTACAATAATAATAAAAAAAACTAGTACATTTGTTATAAGAGGCATATGCAAGGTTCCAAACTAATCTATATATTCCCTTCTTAGAATTTATTCAAACTAAATAATTCTACAAAAGCAAATAATATGTATGCATAAATAAATAAAATGAATGAAATGTCATTGAATAATAGCAAAAGCCTATACAGCCCAAAAATTCACTACACATATTTAATAAAACAGGTATTTTATCACAATGAAAGAATACATCCATTAAAATAACTATATGAAGACTATAAAGACATGGAAAATCTATACAAATAATATAAAATAATACACATAAGATGTAAAGCAGGCTTAAGAACAAGGCTCTCAAGTCAGACAGACCTGAGTTCAAATCCTGTCTTGGCCTACCTATTAGCTAGAACTAGATGACCTTGGTAAAGTTACTTAAGCACTCAGGCCTGCTTCCTAACCTGTAAATAGAAGCAATATGGAATCTATCTACTATAATTTGTATAAAATTAAATAAAATAAATCATTTGCAATCATTTAGCATGATTCCAAGTCACAAACCAGGCAGTAAACAAGTCTTAGTCAAGATAAGGAGATGGTCAATTGCTTTTGCTCTCTATTAAACTTTCTTTATAATCTGCTTCTTTTTTAAAAGGCTGTAATACTCAATACCAGTAATACTATGATAAAACTGGTGAAGTAGTACACTGCTAGTGACACTTATAAGCTGGCACAACTGATCTGAAAGACATGAGGACAGCATACCAAGAATTATAGAAATGAAAGTTGTTAATCTAGTTAACCTACTGAAATTGAGAGAAAAAACTTGTTCCAACCCTAAGTTTTCAAACAGAAGGAAATGAAAATTTCCTGAATTTGCTAACCTAAATATTACATAAGTGTGGTACAGCCAACATGATGGAGTGTCATCAAATCACTAAAATTATAACCATGGGAAAAAATTAGAAATATGAAAATTCTTCTATGTTCACAATTGTATAAAATAATATATGCTCAAAGTTGGACCAAAACATCTTTTAATGAAAATAGTTAATACTTTTCAAGTTTCTTATTATTTTTAGTATTTAAGAATTAAGAAATACAACTATTCTTTAAAAAGGGAGTCCCTGGATGGCACAAATGGTTAAGTGCTACTACTAATCAAAAAGTTGGAGGCACCTCAGAAGAAAGGCCTGATGATCTGTTTCCAAAAGATCACAGCTCTGAAAACCCTATGGAGTGCAGTTTTACTCTAAACACATGAGGTCGCCAGGAGTCAAAATCGACTCAATAGCAACTGGTTTTAGTCTTTAAAAAGGCCAGGATATTTCACAGATATCCTGTCCACTCAATTGTAAAGTGGTGCTTTGATGTCGATCACATTTGAAAAACAATGGCAGTAAGGAAGGTACTGTTTTGGGAGAGGTATATCAAGAATATTCTGTTACAGGTTCCTGAGGACTGGACATTGAGTTCTGGGTCACCAGGAACAAGGAATAACTCATAAGAAAAAAACTCTGTCCCTTGGTTTTTTGTTTAACAGTATCTGAGAAACTATAAAAACATACAAGAACAAAATTTTTTTAATTAAATAATTAAGTTGGGGTATTACAGTCATGGATGTTATCTTTTCCTCCTTGTTTCAATTGGGCGGGGGTGGAGGGGGGAGGATCTGTTCACATGAAAATCCAGCAAGACATTTCACAGAGAGGATACTGTCCACTAAACTGTAAGAGAATGTGCTATTTTCTTTTGCACTTACAAAACAATGGGGGTAGAAAGGGCAATGTTTTAGCAGAATCACACAAAGGATATTCTGTTAAGGTTCCTGAGGATGGTGACAGAGATTCTGGTTCACTGAAAATAAGGAATAATTTGACAGGAAACACTCCAGTGTTTTGCTCCCCCGCTACCCGCTGTTTGTACCTGAGAGCTTAAACCTGAAGCTGTTTGTGCCCACATAGCTAAATATGTCAGGCTGGTCAACCTCATACTGTTTACCTCAACCCAATTTCTACTCCAGTGAACTTAACGCTGAGACCCAGACAGGACAGCTCAGAAAGCATTTAGTACTAAACAAAAATAGCATTTTCATTATGTGTTGGTTATATGGAGTCATAAATGCATCTTATGGGAGGGGCTTTGCCATGAAGTTGATTCCAACTCATGGCAACCCCATGTGTTACAGAGTAGAACTGAGCTCCACAGAATTTTCTTGGTTATAATCTTTAATGAAACAGATCACCAGGCCTTTCTTCCATGGTGCTGCTGGGTGGGTTCAAACCTCTAAACTTTTGGTCGGTAGCCAAGTGCAAACCACTTGGGCCACACAGGGACCTTGGCCTGGGAGGAGGGGGGTCAAAATGAACAAGCTTTGTTATTATAGTTTATCTTTTAAAAATGAGGATTCCTGGGTACTATTACCCCAAAACTAGAGGGTCAGAATTTGGCAAGTGCAGCTCAGGAATCTGTGTTTTAAACACATTTTCCAGTAATTCTTAAGATTCATAATACATTTGAAGGTTTGAGAATCGATGCCCTTGGACTCAACAGTTTCTTGATCTTTTCTAAGCATCAATCATTACTTCCATTCCTTTCTCAAAACATATTCACAGTTATACCGAGCCTTATTATCCATAATTGCTCCATCTCCGAAATCCCGTATTATGAATTTCCACCAGACTACAACATCTGTCTTTTCATTTCTCCGCTTAAACTTGTTCTTTGTCCTCATCATGGTCTCCAGTTTGACACTTCTTTCTTTACTCTCAACTCTATGGGTCCTGACCTGCCTTCACTTTCCTTACTACCTAAGGCAGACCAGAGCCCATAATCAACTATTTAAATAACTCCTTTTATTATCTTCAGTATTACTTCTCTCTTTACCTTTTGTCAGCATTTTTTTTTATAATTCCTAATCTAGATATCCAATTTTTCCTATCTCAAGATTTAGGTATCACCATATCTGAAAATGGATGAGCTCTCTCTCCTCTTAATTCTCAAAGCACTTAATGTGTGCCCTTTAAAAAAACAAAAAAAACCTGTTGCCGTCGAGTCAATTCTATCCTGTATTATGGTTATTTAAGCCTACTCTATCTTCTCTATTTGACTATAAGGACTTTGGGAATAGGATCCGTGTGCAATTTATCTTGGTTTCTCCCAAACTGTTGGGCATAATGTTGGAGTAAAATCTGAATTTTTTTTTCCTGGCAATAAAGGCTTTGTGCCATTTTTTATTTGTGGGTTAACTTAAAAAATGGTTATAAAGAGTAATTGTTTTATAAATACTTTATGCCAACCTACAGTATTTTAAAACATCTGATCCAAAATCTAATGTTGTCCTATCACCACTTAGAAGTCAACATCCATTAAAACGGCTTCGCAGAAAACAGTAATTTCAATGTAACGACTAGGTCAATGAACATATATGCCCTGACAAGGAAGAAGAGAAGAACAGCGTAGTATTTACTGCTTCCACAACTTATCTCTAATAAAGGAAGAAATGATAATAATGAAAAGATTTCTCTTTCATTAATGATTATGTTGCTTACTCCAAGGGGAACAGAAAGAGGGAGAAGATTCCCTGAACGTACTTTGGTCCTCCTCACAAGCGTTGCTTTGATGACTCTCACCCTAATTAATGTTGCCTGTTAACAAACCAAAATCATCTAATTTCCCCTTTAAGCCAATGAGAATTATACCACAATTAATCAGTATCTACGTACATTTTTTCTTGAAACCATGCTAAGCTTTTGAAAGCTGTGCTAACTCTTTTTTTTTTTTGTTACGAAAGAAACAATTAAAAAGCCAGAACTAAAACCAAAACCCAAACCAAACCCATTGCCATCAAGTCAATTCTGACTCATAACGACCCTACAGAATAGAGTAGAACTGTCCCATAGTGTTTTCAAGCTCTTGGCTGGTGGGTTCGAACTGCTGACCCTTCCAATTAGCATTCGAGTGCGTAACAAACTATCCATTAGACTGACTATTTCATACTAACAATAGTCAATAATGAATTTCAGGAAAGATAAATAAAGTCCTAAAAATTAGAGATCATTCATAATCTTAGAAAATGAATTGTTAGAACTACATGCAAAATTACATACACACAAAGAAAAAACCTTTTTAATGTAAAAAACAAAGTTCTGTTAGTTAATGAGGGTATCAGTTCCTTTAAGACTTCTTTTAAGTGTTGCTTTTAAAAATAATTTTTTAAAAATTATTTGCTTACATCTTTATTTGAAGAGTAATACATTTTCACTGTGGAAAAAATAATATACAGGGAAAACTAAAAACCTACCTGTAACTGCACTGTGTAAAGATAACAACTGGCAAATACAGAAACATGTATATACACATATATATGTACACATGTATTTTATAAAAATGAGATTGTGGTATCTTTGGTGAAGGGTGAGACAGTACACAATACTGGGGAAACCAGCACAATTTCTACAAGGAAAGGTCATGGAAGCTCCATAGACACATCCAAACTCCCTGAGGGACTGAATTGCTGGGCAGAGGGCTGTGGGTACCATGGTGTCGGGGAACATCGAGCTCAACTGGCATAACACAGTTTACAAAGACAATGTTCTACATTCTATCTTGGTGAGTAGCGTCTGGGGTCTTAAAAGCCTGTGAGCAGCCATCTAAGATACTCCACTGGTCTCATCTGTTCGGGAGCAAGGGAGAATGAAGAGAACAGGATACAAGGAAAAGATGAGTCCAAAGGACTAATGGACCACAGCTACCAAGGCCTCCACCAGACTGAGTCCAGTACAGCTAGACGGTGCCCGGCTACCACTCTGACCGGGATCACAACAGAGGGCTCTGGACAGAGCTGGAGAAGGATGTAGAACAAAATTTTAACACACACACAAAAAGACCAGATTTACTGGCCTAAAGGAGACTGAAGAAACCCTGAGAGTATGGTCCCCAGACACCCTTTTAGCTCAACGGTGAAGTCACCTCCGAGGTTCACCGTTTAGCCAGGGCTTGGACAGCCCCATAAAACAAAACGGGACTAATGAGGCACAGCAGTCCAGGGACAAGGGCTAGAAGGCTGAAGGGGGCAGGAAAGCTGGTGATAGTGAACCCAAGGTTGAGTAAGGACAGTGTTGATGTGTTGTGAGGTTGTTAACCACTGTCATAGGGCAACATGTGTACTGTTTAATGAGAAACTATTTTGTTCTGTAAACCTTCATCTAACGTGAGAATAGCAGCACAATTGGAAGAGCGTAGTCGATGTCACTGAACTGTGCATGTAGAAATTTTTGAAATGGTGTATCTTTGGCTATATATATTTTCACCAAAAAAAAAAAGCTCGAGAAGGGAGAGGACTGACATGTCGTGGGGTTGTTAACCAATGTCATAAAACAATATGTGTACTACTATTTAATGAGAAACTATTTGTTCTGTAAACCTTCACCTGAAGTACAATTAAAAAACAAACAAAAAATGAGATTGTATTACAGTTCTAAAAACATTCTTCTGTCACTTTTGAATCATGAACACATAATGGTACACAGTATTCTAACTATTTCACCTGTTGGCTGCATGGAAAGAGCCAAAAAATAAATAAGTAAAGCAACTGCTACACAGATTTTCTATGGTGGAGAGGCAAACTGGAAAATCACTGAAAGACTTTAAAGAAAGGGGGAAAAAAATCTGTTGAGAAGTATTATCTCAGTTTTTATATATTAAAAAAAACTGAGGCTCAGAGAGGTTCATAACTTGCTCAAATTTACTGGCTAATAAATGATAAAGATCCGATTAGAACTAAGGTATATAATTCCAAAGCTCACATCCTTTTCCATTACACAGTGTTGCCTCAGCTTCCTCAAGTGTAAAATGAGTTCGTCTATAATATTACAGCAGGTAAAGTTAGCATATATAAAATAAGGAATGAGAAAATTACCTTGAAACCTATAAAGTACTACTGCAAAAATGTAAGGGACTATTACAGTGCCCTCACCTGACTACTGTCAAAATTCACTGTACTGTTTTGGCATTGAACCGTCACCTTATACAATCGATTAAGGTTTACAGTTCTGTATTAGATAATGACAATATGAGGAATAATCTCAAAACTCTTTGTAATCAGAACTTAAAAACATTTTAAGGAGAAGGCTTTTAAGTAGTGTTGAAACTTAAGTCTACACCATCTTAACTGGCATAAGACCATACAATTAGATTAACATTATAAAAACCAACTTTGAACATACTATCAAAAAGAATGCTGTGAATTAAGCATCATTATTTAAAATGTATATCTGTTAGATTTTTTTTTAAATTTTTTTCCTGAAATGGCCATCTTAAAGAAAATCAAATTATTTTTTAAACTTTAAATTAAATATCCAATGTACCCTCCCCCACTAACCCTGTTACCAGAGTTTTAAAACAAAAACAAGGTATGACTCAAAGTTATAGACTGCTTTGTCTTATTCTGCAAAACCTGAGCCTACTTTTGTCTAATTTTGAGATGGACGTGATATGAAGTAGAAAAAAAAAGCTGGCGGGGTGTATGCTTCTGAAGGAATAGGAGAAGAAGGAAATAAACACTACTAGTTGTTAAGACACACATAACGCCTACCAAAGGTAAATGTCTCTTTCTTCTATTCCATACTTCCCATTTCTTGCCTCCTTCTTCCTTATTCACACGTTTAAATTCACAGCAACTTCTTCCAATAAACATACACTAGTTATCAAATGTTTTTTAAAGCTAAATTAAGAAGAGGAAGGAAATTCTCTAAACACCATATAGGACACTAAAAATCACTTAACATACGGTGAACGGATACAAATCATTTTCAAAATGACTAAAAAGCAGAATTAAAATCAGATGTTTAGAGTAACTATGAAGTTCAATATTATATAAATATCTGTACTTACCTTAAATTTTCATTAAACCTTACTGTAGCTGCACAGTGGAATATAATATTGGTAGAATCTATAATAATCTCTTTATCGTCTTCACTAAGAGCCAGTGTAGGTTGGGTGAGTTCACTCCTGATTGCTATAATTTTCTCTCTAAAATCTGGATATTCATCTCTCAGTCTGTCAAAGAGCTATCAAAAGGGAAAAAATATTTTAGGGCAGTATTTTTCAACTTTCTAAAACCATTATTACCCCCTCTTTACCCACTAAGGATCACTATTTTAAAAACTTAAACTATATAATTCCTAAATTTGCTATACTTAATTTCTATTTTTCTGTAGAGAAAACACTCTATGAGGCATATACTATTATCCCATTTTGTAGATGAAGAATCTGAGACACAGAGAGATTAACTAACTTGCCAAAGACACAGAGCTGGTAATCTGTGGAGCTGGATTTGAACTGTCCACACCTTTATTGATTAGATTACATCACCTCTCAGAATAGACTTAAGCAATACAAACATCAGGACAATGTTTTAAATGATTATTCTGATTTTTAAAATCTAGACCTTAATTTATCACTTCATTTTATTTTGGTCTTATTCTCTTTCAGTATATTAAACACTATAAGATTCACATTCTACCTAAAATCTTAGAATTTAAAAGAAAAAAAAAGTACACACGTTAAAGGGGAAAAAAAAGTTGGTAAGCAAATGTGCAGATTAGAAACTTGACAAACTATGTTTCTAACCTGCAAATTCAACATTCCTTAAATATATCCAAAGGAATAAATTTAGTTAGAGGATCAGCTGGATCACAAGATGATTACAGTGTAAAGGCATATTCAATTGTGAGTCAAACTTAATTTATTATCCCAGATTTTACAGAAGAACACTGATGCTACCTCCAGGTCACTACTCTATCATACTCTGACTCTCCATTTCATTTAAAGTTAATACTTGCAGATTAACCAAGGATTCTTAACCTGGGAAGAACGTCTACATAATATATTCCAGGGCTCACTTTCACCTTCCTAGATGACTTTAGTATATAACAGTCTTTCCCTACACCACTGCCAACTAGTGACTCCAATACTAATGTGTTCCTATACTAATTCAAAAAATATCTGCTAAGCATTTCATATTGGCCAGGTATCTTCTAGGCCCTGAGAAAACAAGCACATGGTCTTTGCCCTTATGTTGTTTAGAGTCTAACAGGAAAAACAAGACAAGTAAATTAAAATATAGTGTGGTAGTAATAGAGGTACGTTACAGTGTTATAAAATTGCATAGGAAAAACAACTAACCCAGCTTGGAATGACCAGACGTGGCTTCTCAGAGTAAATGACATTTAAGTGGGAGCAATGGTGAGCTACTGATGGATTTTAAGCAGGGAAGTGATATAAGCATGTTTATAATTAAAAGAGTGGTTTGGTTGCAATAAATTTTTGGATGCTTTTGCATCCTAAACCCACATGAAGAAGGATCATGGTCTGAACCAAGGTTAACAGTAGTAAGGATGAAAAGATATATACATATGAGAGATATTCAGGAAGTAGTATCAATAGGACTTTGCCAATGACTGGATTTGAGGGATAAAGAATGTAAGCTCCATGAGGGGAAGAACTGTACCTATTTTGCTCAGTATACAGGTCCTAGCTAGCATAGTGCCTGGCAATATGCAGGTGTGACAAACATTAGTTAGGTAAATAAATTCATTAGATTGAAAGTACCGGGAGAGAAAGAAGCGCAATTTTGGCAATACAAGTCCAGTTTTGTGAAGGTTGAGTTTAAAGTGCCTATGTGACACCCCAGAAGACAGGTCTAGTACAAGTGATTGGTTCTGTGGGTCTGGAGCTCAAGGGAGACAGCAAGCCTACTGATACAGATTTTACTAACCACACATGGGTAGTAACTAAAGTCCGAGGCGTAGAAGAGATCACTTGGGTAGTAGCAGTAATGAGAGCCCAAGGTCCAGACTATATGAAGCTTTATTTCCCGCCAAATCTATTTAAATACAACCATTCATCTCACACAAAAGAGAAAGTGCTAAGTAACCATCTAAATTGGACCTCATGAGAAGAAATCAAGGCCTAGAACAGAAACTTGAAGAACAGCAATATTTTAGGGACAAGCAAAGATATAGCGACCTGAGGAATGACCAGAAGAATACTTTCAAGAATTCATACTTCTTCATTCTCCTAGAACGCTAATGACCTTTAATTCTCCTTCGTATCACACATCTGCACCACATGATCATGCTGCTTCAAACCTGATCCTCTTCTTTTCTCTAAATACAATGTCTCTATTCAATACCTTCTTTTCCACAGCTTTTAACCTGCCAGTGCCCCAATCATTTAACCCATCCTACTTTACTAATCAGCACCTACTTTAATATACTTTATTCCCTTTCTAGAATTTACTTCATGATATCAACTGTTTTAATTCAACTCTCACCATCCAATGGAGTTTCTCTTGCTGAGACATTCCCGTAAGTCAGGGTTCTCATCCAGAGATGATTTTGTCCCTCAGGGGACATTTGGCAACGTCTGGGGACAATTCTGGTTGTCAAAAACTGGAATGGAGGAAGGGAAGGTACTACTGGTATCTAGTGGGTAGAGGTTAGGAGTGCTGCTAAACACCATACAATGCAAAGGACAGCCTTCCATAATAAAGAACTATACAGCCCAAAATGTCGATGATGTTGAAATTTAGAAACCCTGCTACAAGTCAGTGTCTCACTATGGTATATCCTTTTGGCCTATGCTCTTTATTCCTACTTCAAAATCATAGTAGGCCTTAACCTAACAAGTTTCTTACTCACTTCAAGTGCACACTCACTGCTACACACACAAAAAAAAGAACTGATTTCTACTGACTCACCAGCAGTGCTATTCATAATGGGGAATAAGAGGCCCTAGGATTAAGTGGTAGGGTGTGCACAGAGGAAACTGAAGCCACAAGATAAAATGACGTAATTTTATAAAGTATCAATCTTAATCAAATATTTGGGGGTGAAGCATTTTTATACTGAAAATAATGACCATATGTTTAGGCTAAAACATAAAACTTCAATGAAATCTCAGGCTTTAAGTAGAAAATGTTCATTTTCTTCTCAGACCAGACTTACTATGAAGGAAAAGTTTTAGAAACTTGCCCTGGAAGCCCCAGAAGAGATGTCCACATCTTTTACATTTCACTCAGGCCCTCAATTCCAACCAAGACACCAACTCCAATACCTTCCCCCATCCAATCTCCTCTTGACACTCTATTATTCTTCCTTCCAACCTACCTCTTATGAACTCTTTAGACCATGAGGTCCATTAAGGCAGAGAACCCATCTTATTTATCCCTGAATTCAATCCCCTGCACCTAGTGAGGTGCCCAGTACTGAGTAGGTTTAATAAATGTTCCCTGGAAATAAAAAATGAATTAAGAAACCCCTTACTCAGGGCAGGGGGTGATTAAAACATATCAATGCAAGTGGTTCATGATAAAATGCCAAGATGAGTAGATGAAGGGTGAAGTGGCAACGGAAAACACACATGCAGGCATTTTTATTTAGAATAAGCCTTGTGGTTTTATAGCTGCCTCCTTGACAATTCCCTTATTGTACGTTTTAAGGAAAACAAAGGATTCCAAAAGATTTCAACAAAGAATCAGGAAGAGAAACAGAAGTTAAGGAGACTAATTCAGACTATTCTGAACAGTTGAGTGTAACAATAATTTCTATATTTCTGAGAAAGGACCTTATATCCCAGGGTAAAAATAAATAAATAAAAGCAACATAATGAGGAATATATGCTGCATGGTGCCAAAGAACAGCTAAGGTGATACGACAATTCCAAAGTAAAGAACTATCAAAAAGGTATATGAAGTTCATTCAAAGTAAAAAGACTGGTTGGTTGTAGTGGAAGGGTTTTGCTAGTGTTTTGTTTGTTTTTAAAACAAGTCTGTAAGAATTTAGACATTTTAATAAGTATCATTCTCATTCCAAAATACATGCTATCATAGTAATTCCTTTTTGGGATATGCCTGCAGAGTCAGATTCCTAAGACGTACTAAAAATAAGCTCGCAGCTTTCCAGTCACACCTGTTTCTGACTCCACCTTCATTCTCCAAACCTTTACTGCCACACTTGGGTATAAATTACTTCAGGATGTTTGCAAAAGTCAAATCTTTCCTTAAAGTGGGACTATTTGCTCCTATTAGGGATATCCAAAAAAATGTGCCCGAGGTTATTCCCCAAATAGTCTGAGTAACAATGTCAGCCCTTAATCAGTGATTTTCAATGTGTGGTCTGGGAATCCCTGGGATTCTTTCAGGGAGTTCACAAGGTCAAAACTATTTTCATAATAAAACTGAGACTTTATTTGCATTATTTACTCTTATTCTCTCACAAGAATCCACAGTCTTCCAGAGGTTATACATTGTATGATAACATCATTGCTTTAATACCTAATGAAATGTGTGCTTGTATATTCTTGTGCTTTAAAAATTCCTCAGCTTTAATTTCTAAACTGTTAAATACCAATTTTTTTACAATATAACCCAAAACAACAAAACGTCTTTGAAGTCTTCATTAATTTTATAGAGAGTAAAGGGGTTCAGAGACCCAAAGTTTGAGAATTGCTGCCTTAAATAAAGAGAATCTTTCAACCTTTTTTGCAGATATGAAAAAGTACAGCCATTCCAACCAAAACCAAACTTGTTGCCATCGAGTGGATTCCGACTCATAGTGACCCGACAGGATGGGGTTGAACTGCCCCATAGGGTTTCCAGAAGCAGCTGGTGGATTCGAACTGCCAACCTTTTGGTTAGAAGGCGAGCTCTTAACCACTGTGCCACCAGGGCCCCAGTATAGCCATAAGGTAACAATATCACTTTGCCAATAAATTGTAATCAATCCACCCTTTGAAATAATTTGCTCAACAGTTATAATTAAAAGTCACCTGGAGAAAAGCTCTAAATTATATCATATTTTTCAAAATTGTCCTTATACTACTCTACCGAATAGTTTTCACTTTCAAAAGATATGGAAGACAGCTCAGTCCGTTTTATCAGTTCTAGGGGGAAAAAAAAAAAAAACCTTGAAAAATGAACCTTATATCTACCATCTGTTCAAGAGTAAATCCTTGAACAAGACTAGTTATTAAGTAGCTACCTTTATGTCAGTAAGAACTAAAATATTAATTCACCTTTTACTTTTAAAAATAAGTAGCCAGAAAGTTCATGAATAATTCTTTAAAAGTTTAAACTAGCTGTAATTTCTGATGTGTAGTTATGAGTATTCTTTAGTCTGAAGCCCTCTTCCTCAAGTCAAACAAGTGGAAATTAAAAAATAATAATAATAAACTAATAATTTTCATTGTATTTCAGAAGACAGAAACCTCTGGGGAAATGGGAGGGGTGCTGACAGGGGCACGGGAAGAACATTGTTGTCAGGTGCCGTCAAGCCGGTTCTGACTCATAGTGACCCTATATACAACAGAAAAAACACTGCCAGGTCCCACACCATCCTCACAATCCTTGCTATGTTTGAGCCTACTGTTGCAGCCACTGTGTCAATCCATCTCACTGAGGGTCTTCCTCTTTTTTGCTAACTCTCTACTTTACCACTGATGTCCTTCTCCAGGGAAGGGTCCCTCCTGATAACATGCCCAAAGTACATGAGATGAAGTCTCGCCATCTCGCTTCTAAGCAGCATTCTGGTTGTATTTCTCCCAATACAGATTTGTTCGTTCTTCTAGCAGTCTGTGGGAGATTCAATATTCTTTACCAACACCGTAATTCAAAGGCATTAATTATTCTTCCGTCTTCCTTATTCATTGTCCCGTTTTCACGTACATGAGGCAACTGAAAATACCATGGCTTGTGTCAGGCACACCTTAGTCCTAAAGATGGTATCTTTGCTTTTCAACACTTTAAAGAGATCTTTTGCAGCAGATTTGCCCAATGCAATACGTCATTTGATTTCTTGATTGCTGCTTCCATGGGCACTGATTGTGGATCCAAGGAAAATGAAGTTCTTAACAACTTCAATATTTTCTCCATTTATCATGATGCTGCTTATGGTTCAGTTGTGAGGATTTCTGTTTTCTTTATGTTGAAGTGTAATCCATACTGAAGTCTGTAGTCTTTGATCGTCATCAGTAAGTGCTTCAAGTCCTCTTCACTTTCAGCAAGGAAAGTTGTGTCATCTGCATATCACAAGCTGTTAATGAGTCTTCCTCCAGTCCCGAATGATGTGTTCTTCATATAGTCCAGCTTCTCGGGTTATTTGCTGAGCAGAGACTGAACAAGTAGGGTGAAAGGATACACCCCTGACGCACACCTTTCCGGATTTTAAACCATGCAGTATCCCATTGCTCTGCTCAAACAACTGCCTCTCGGTCTATGTACAGGTTTCCACATAAGCACAATTAAGGATTCTGGAATTCCCATTCTTTGCAATGTTACCGGTAATTTGTTATGATCTACACAGTTGAATGCCTCTGCATAGTCAATAACACACAGGGAAACATCTTTCAGGAATTCTCTGCTCGCAAGCAAGATCCATCTGACATTAGCAATGATATCCCTTGTTCCACATCCTCTTCTGAATCTGGCTTGAATGTGTGGCAGTTCCCTGAGGATGTACTGCTGCAACTGTTTTTGAATGATCTTCAACATACTTTTATTTACATTTGATATTAATGATATTGTTCAATAATTTCTGCATTCTGTTGGATCACGTTTCTTTGGAAAGGGCACAAATATGGATCTCTTCCAGTCGGTTGGTATCATGGATTGAATTATGTCCCCCAAAAAATGTGTGTATCAATTTGCTGGACCACGATTCCTGGTATTGTGTGATTTTCCTATATGTTGTAAATCCTGCCTCTATGATGTTAATGAAGGAGGATGGGTGGCAGTTGTGTTAGCAAGGCAGGACTCAATCTACAAGACTGGATTGTGTCCTGAGGCAATCTCTTGAGATATAAAAGAGAGAAGTGAGCAGAGAGACAGGGGAACCTTATACCACCAAGAAAGCAGTGCCAGGAGCAGAGCGCATCCTTTGGACCCAGAGTCCCTGTGTGGAAAAGCTCCTAGTCCTGGGGAACATTGATGAGAAGGCTGACAGAGAGAGAAAGCCTTCCCCTGGAGCTGACACCCGAATTTGGACTTTTAGCCTACTTGACTGTGAAGAAATAAATTTCTCTTTGTTAAAGTCACCGCTTGTGGTATTTCTGTTACAGCAGCACTAGATAACTAAGACAGTTGGCCAGCCAGCTGTCTTTCAAATTTCTTGGCACAGACGAGGGAATGTTTCCAGCATTGCATCCATTGGCTGAAACATCTCAACTGGATTCCATCAATTCCAGGAGCCTTGTTTTTCGAGTGCCTTCAGTGCAGCTTGGACTTCTTCCTTCAGTACCATGAGTTCTTGATCATACGCTAATTCCTGAAATGGCTGAGTGTTGACCAATTCTTTTTGGTACAGTGACTCTGTGTATTCCTCCCATCTTCTTTTGATGCTTCTTGTGTTGTTCATTTTTTGCCCATAGAGTCCTTAACTATTTCAACTAGAGGCTTGAATTTTTTTTTCAGTTCTTTCAGCTTTAGAAATGCCGAGCCTGTTCTTTCCTTTAGGTTTTCTAACATTAAAAAAGTATAACTAGCCATGTGAGTTATACAGTCACTAAGTAGCTATTAAAGGAGCAGTTTTTTTTCTGTTTTTTTTTTAAGTAATTCAGAGAAAAGTTTTCCTGGTGGAAATAAGAATTATTTTAAGCTTTCACATGGGAACAGAGTGAATTAACAAGGTAAATAGTGAAAACTAACAATTTCACAGAAAGGTAAATAGTTTTATTCTCTAAATCCCTATTAATAGTATTAAATGATTTCTTTTTAAAAGGGAAGTCTAATAAATAACTTATACCTCATTCTTAAAACCCTGTGGTCTAGGGTTACCTCTTTATAAGGGCAAAAAACATAAATAAGTAAAACGCAAATCCTTCACATATATCTGAAGCATTCCTTCTGAACAAAAGTTGTATTTGAATGGAAACCATTCTCACTATAGTGTAATTTTTCTTAATTCATCTTAAGTCATCACAGTGAATATGAGTTACCGTATTCTACTATAACTTTGTGATGTTAAGACAATTAAAATTTGTTAAAACAACCCCTGCACAGCACTACTATACAGATCTTATCTTGTCCGTTCTCTCTTAACTGTTCTCTGTTGTCACACTTCATCACTCCTAGTTTATCCATCCTAACCCGTAACTGACTCCTCCTCCTTCTGTGTGTTACCTCTGTTGTTCTCTGCCCTTCATCCTCTTCCTTTCCGCTCTTTTTCATCTTTTAATTTTTTCCCTGTTACGTTCGCCTGATTTGTCATTTGCCATTACCTTTAGGAAGTTAAGCTATTTTTCACTCCAGGTGTCCCAGCTTAAACTCTTAAACTAGTAAGTCAACCAACTCTAAAGACTACTTTTCTCATTGTACCACAAGGAACTTCCATCGTTTCTTACTTACTTTCTTATTTACACAGGAATTTGTTATTAGGTCGTCTGTGTTATCACCAACATTTATCAGCTAAATAATCACAGACAAAATTACAACCCCTTCGACTCACTGTCCACATATATAAAATGGGATATATAAACATCTACCCCTCATAGAGTATGAGCTGTGGGTTAGACTGTCAGGGTTCACAAACATTGGCTCTAACACTCACTAACTGTATGAGCTTGTAAAATGGGAATACTTCTAGTACCTCCCTCAAAGGGCTGTTGTGGTAATTAAAAGCATGTAAGGTGCTTTACACTGTGCCTCGCACAAGGTAAATACTCAAAGGTTAGTCACTATTACAACTTTATGGATCTCTATTGAAGAGCAAAACAAACTAGAACATGAAAATGTATTCATTGTTCATGTCTAATCAATTATTTATTCGTTTATTAACTCTAGACAGTTATTGTTAATCATATCTTTTGACATTTTTCAGCAATTCTTCAATTGCTGAGTGACTCACAGATTTCTGGTTTTGTTTTGTTTTTTTTTAAGCATAGATCATAGTGTTTCTAAAAGATTAAAAGGTACCTACTAGATACCTAATAACTGAAAAACTAAGCAGCTACTCTAGTAAACTTATGATCAATGAATGTCAGATATGTTCATTCATATTGAAAGAATTCACAAGCTTATGGTTGTGAAATAATTTCACTCCAGTTCATTTCCATTTTTTCACAGTAATACTTTCCTAAAGGTTCAAAACGTATGCTACATTCTTTCATTCTGTATTACCCCGTCATCATGTACCTTTCCATATAATGAGAACATGTGACGTATCTACCTCCTTACAGTTGTGAGGAGCAAGTTGTGCTTACAAATTTTAAAGTGTTATCAAAGCATAGTATGTCATAGCACAGTAGGTAGTTCAAAACTACCTCTTAATTATTATTCTAAAGACTATTTAAAATATCTAGTAATTATAAATAATCTTCCTCAAATGTTCTAAAACCACACTTTAAATATATACCTTATGATAATCTACAACTTGTTATACAATTTTGCCCATCATAGAGGAAAGCGTATGTCTCCTACTGATCAGAAGTCACAGCCAGTTTATTGCCATGCTGCAGGAACTCCAGCTTACCTTTTTTTTCCCCCCAGAATACTGGAGAAATATACCAAACTGCTGATAAGTACACTGATAATTATACCCAGAAACACATACTTTTTTCTCCCCTCCAAATGATCATTTTCCACACTTACCTTGCCACTAATGACTTCTTCTACTCGCTCTTGGGGTGTTTGTTCAGCTTTCTGCCTCACCAGAACATACACTGAATTCACCTTAGGACAAGACCTCAGCAACTTCTCCAGAAGCACCTTCCCTAGGAAGCCAGTAGCTCCAGTGAGAAGGACATTTTTGCCTTCATAGTATTCTGGGATTGAAATCATTATGATCCTAAGAAAAACATGGCAAATAAGCATTAGTTCAAAGATTTCTATTATTCTTAACTACTGAATATCTCTTGGTAATCAAATAAGTATTTTAAAGGACAAGCATAAATCAAAGATGAATGTTAACAAATGAGAACTCTAACTTCTGGTTCATTGTAGTAAGGTAGAAAGAACAAGAAACTGCAACAATGACTTCTAATCCCTGTGCTTTTCCCCTGGATCGCTTCAGATAAGTCATTCACCTTCTCTGGGCTTGAGTTTCTTCAGTTCGGTTTGTACTAAATGGTCTCCAAAAATCCCTTCCAGCATTAAGAATTCAAATCTTCATTTAAACCTCAGTTAAACTCTGGACAGAACTGAATAGTGTTTCTCTGCCTCCAAAGGGATTTATAACACTGAATAGAGGTCAGCAGAAAGAGTAAGACTCTACTGCCTAGCTTGTATAACACAGCTCGGTATCATGTTCACCTATCACCACCGGATGAAACAAGAAGAGGTAACACCAAGTTCTTCTTCCTACATGTTTGTTAATGACAATATATTCAGAATGTGCTTAAATCTCCCATTTAAAAAAGTCATAGTAAGAAATACATGGGCCGACTTAACCTCCTTACCCAAATACCACTGAAACAGCAGGAAAGGTATATTAAGATAAGGAATAAACAAAAGGACCATGATGAATGAAAATAAAGAATATGCAGGATTCATGCAATGTCACTACATAAAACTCAAATACATTCAAAACCATGTTTTTTATTGTTTAGAAACACACATACAAACATAATATTAACAGATGAATGATAACGACTAAAATACAATCAGAGAAGAGAATAAGGAGCTTCAATTGCATTTATAATGTTTCAGTTAAGCTGAGGAGTAGATACGTGCACTTTGTGACGAAATTTTTCTTAAAAAAGAAAAAATCCTAACAACCTAAGAACAAGAAGTAGTACCACTGACAAGCAAAAAATAAAGAACAAGAATACTTATTATTTTTAGAAGAAATAGTTGAGACTCAATTGACAGAGAAGCCATAGCAGAAGAGACAGCAACCCAAGCAAAACAAGCATAGGAAAGGACTATAAGGAGGCAAGGGCTGTCCTTGCCAGTCCCCTAAATAGAACCTGGGAGAAAACGCCAAGCTCAGGATCAAGAAGCTAGATTAAAGCGTAGGGAAATCAAGGTAATTAAAGGACAGCTCACGGAACACCAGAGCCACTCATGACAGTCTTACTTCCTGTACCAACTTTGGCTCCCAGGCTTAGCATCCAGATCTGCTTAAGAAAATCATCCAGCATGGGTGCCAGGGACAAAAGAGAAGCAGGGCTGAACCTAAGGTTGACCCAAATGTCCACACATTAAGGGGCAGGGAGTATAAGGACAAAGGAAACAAAAACAAGCACACACACAAAACAGTCATTATAGCACTCAGCCCCCAGAATAAATAAAAATCTGACATTTACAGGTCCTTAGCCTTCTGTTACGTAGAGCTCTCAATCAGCAAGCCCATTTGACGAAAAGCTCTGGGAACCAATATCAGGTACTAAAATCAACCATCCTAGTCCTTCGTAAATATGAATAACCAAGAATCACTAGGGTACAGTAAAACCTGTGAAAGGGAACTTGTATAAGGCAGAAACCTATCAGAGAAGGAAAATTCAAGTATTTTCCACTAAAATGAGTGATAATGCACCCTGTCAAAGGCGGAAAACTTGCGAGACTTGGAAAAACAAGGCAGTCCCATCGAGTTCTGGCTCTCACAGGTTTCAGTGTATTTAAGAAATACCAAAAACATTAAGAAGGACCAAAATACAAAGCAACAGAAACAACCCCAAAGGAAATCAAGATCGTGAAAATCTTAAAGACAACTTAAAATTCTAATAAATATTCTCCAAGCCATTCACAAGAATACTGCATCTATAAAATCATAACAAACTACTATGAAAAAGAAGCAAAGAATAAGAAAGTACTTGGAAATTAGAAACTCAATGTACATAGAAAATTCATAAATTATTAGAATTAAGTAAATTTAACAAGGTTACTGGATAGAACGTTACTACAGAAACAAATATATTTCTATATATCAGCAACAAACAGAAAAATTAAGTAAAAAATACAAAACTATACCATTTACAATACCAGGAAAAATGCCAAAAAAAAAAAAAAGGAAAGAAATCTAAAAGATATATAAGACCTCTACTCTGAAAACTCCAAAATAGTGACAGAAATTAAACAACACCTAAATAAATGGAAGGATATACTATATGCCCAGATTGAAAAACCTGATATTGTAAAGATGTCAACTCAACATCCTTAGAGTCAATACAATCCCAATCAAAATCTAAGTTGTTTTTGTGAGTCTGTACAGAAATGGGTAGATTCTAAAATGTTTATGGAAATACTAAGGGTCAAGAATAGCAAAGGCCAACATGAAGAACAACAAAGGTGGAGGACTTACTTTACTATATATCAAGATTTATTATAAAGCTATGGAGATGTGGTACTGGGCCAAGAAGGGAATGGTGCTCAATCAACTGGATAGCCATATAGAAAAAAAATAAACGTTGACTTGTACGTCACACCATACACAAAAATGAATTCCAGGTAAACTGTAGATCTAAATATAAAAGGTAAAACAATGAAGAGTTTCTAGAAGATAAGACAGGAGAACATCTCTATGACTTGGGGAAGGCAAACATTTCTTAAATACCTTTTGAGATTTTTCAGCAAGAAGTGCGAACCAAAAAGGAAAATACTGATAAAATGGACCACACTAAAAAATTAAGAATTCTGTTCATCCCAAGACATCACTAATAAAGAGAAATGGCAAGTTAGAGGAAAAGATAGTTGTAATATGTATAATGACAACAGATTAATATTCAGAATATGTAAAGAACTACAAATCAATAAGAAGACATATAAGCCAATAGAAAAATGGGCAAAGCTAGAACAGATATAGTAATAAGGAGGGTATCCAAATGGCTTTACAAAAGAGGATCCAAATGGTCAGTCAGTACATGAAAAGGGGATCAACTTCATTAGCTATCAAGAAAGTGCAAATTAAAACCACAATGTGAGATTTCACTATATCAAATGAAAAAGACAAACAATATACAATACTGGTAAGAACACAGAGCAAATGGAACTCTCATTTCCTGCTGGACAAAGTATAGATTGATAACAACACTTAGGAAAAATGTATTGCCTACAAAGGCTGAGCACTCACATGTTGTATGACCTAGCAATTTCACACCTAATTATATACCTAACAGAAACGAGTAATATGTTCACCAAACACTCATGAACAAGAATGCGCAGAGCAGCACTATTCATATTGGCCCCAAATTAAAACAGCCCAGCGTTCATCAACAGTATATGTATAAACTGTTATATACTATATCCATACAACGGAATACTATACAACAATGAAAATGACAAAGCTATCACTATACACAACACAGATGGATCTCACAAAGAGAAAACTGAGTCAAAGAAGCAAGGTACAAAAAATATGTACTATATGATGCCATTTATATAAAGTTCAAAAACAGCAAAACTCATCTTTGATTCAAAGTCAAGACAATGGTTTCCTGTGGAGAAGAAATAGGATACTGATAATGTTTTTTGTCTGGATGGTTCATTTTTTAAAAATTCATCAAGTTGTATGCTTAGAATTTATGAGCTTTCTAACTTAATATATGTTATGCTTTAATAAAAAGTTTACTTTTAAAAAATAAAAACAAACAGCATGACCATATATCTTGGTTTGCCTGGAACAAGCCTTATTTATGCCTGCTACCCCAGCTTAATTCTGAATACAGCCTCCTCTCATTCTCAAAAGCATACCCGTTACCAATTGTCGACAAGTTAATTCCGACTCATAGTGACCCTAAAGGACAAAGGAGAACTGCCACATAGGGTTTCCAAGGATGTAATCTTTACTGAAGCAGACTACCACATCTTTCTCCTGCGGAGCAGCTGGTGGGTTCAAACCACTGACCTTTCAGTTAGCAGCCGAACACTTTAACCACTACACTACCAGGACTCCTTCAAAAGTGTACAAGTGTGGACAATAAATTATATGGTCACCCTGATTATAACTTGCTTCAGGTCTGAAACCAGTCAAGGTTTCAATAACTGAAAGCCTATTTAAAACTATGGAGCATTAAAATTAAAATATTAATGATCTGATATGGGAGACAGAGAAAAATTTCATATCAATACACCTAACAAACTGGGTAGGTATTAACACTTACTAGAAATTCGCTAAATACATGTTAAACACAGTATCCTGAGAACATGACCTAGAACCAGCTATCTAATTCTCTAAGCTTCATTTTCTTTGTATGTAAAAATTTATTCAGGCATAAAGGGAAATGAAGTTCTGAAGCATGCCACAACATGGATGAACCTTAAAAACATTACAGTAAGTGAAGTAAGTCAAATACAAAAGAACAAATATAGTATGGTCTCACTTATATGAAATATTTAAAATAGGCAAAAACATAGACAAAAGTAGATTAGTGGTTACCAGGGCCAGAGGGGAGGGGAGAATAGAGAGTTATTGCTTCATTGGTACTGAATTTTGGTTTGGGGTTATGAAAAAGTTTTGGAAATAGTGAATGATGGTTACACAACATTGTGAATATAATTAATGTCACTGAACTGTACACTTAAAAATGGCAAATATTTTGTTACATGTATTTTATGACAATAATATTTAAAAAAAATTTATTCAACAAATATTAAGTACCTACTAGGTATCATGCAAGGAGCCCTGGTGGTGCAATGGTTAAAGCACTCAGCTGCAAACCGAAAGGTCAGCAGTTTGAACCCACCAGCCACTCCCTGGCAGGAAAGACCTGGCAATCTATTCCTGTAAAGATTTCAGCCTAGGAAACCCTATGAGGCAGTTCTACTCTGTCCTATAGGGCCGCTATGAGTTGGAATCAGCTCCGTGGCACACATCACCAATAACAGATATCATGCATCAGAAAGTTTTCC